CACTATTAGTGGTAAAACGGTGCTTGTTGTGTGTCTACGCTCAGCATTAGCTGATGCTGAGCCCGAAACGTTTTTTTGGGAGCTGATCGAGTTGGATGGAACAACGGCTGATGACATCACAAAGGCGTTAATTGAGTGTCTTGGAAGAGATTTTAACGAGGACTTTTTAGGTCAGTGTTTCGTTTCTTTTGCATGTGATGGGGCTTCAGTCATGCTAGGGAAGAGAACAGGCGTTGCTACCCAGTTGTGTAGTAAATTCCCAAGCCTGTTTGTGTGGCACTGCTCCAATCATCGTCTAGAGCTGGCAGTTGGGGATGTGGTCAAGGAGGTCTCAGGGCTCAATCATTTCCAGATCTTTTTTGACAAACTCTATTCCTTGTTCCATGCCTCCCCCAAAAATCAGAGGCAGTTAGCGCAGTGTGCGCAAGCAGTCGGACAGCGTCTCCTGGTGATAGGGCGTGTTTTGTCCATCCGCTGGGTGGCTTCAAGTGAAAGGAGCGTCAGAGCAGTCTGGGAAAACTACCGAGTGCTTCATGATCACTTCACAAATGCTGCAAACGACACGAGCAGGGATTCCAGAGACAGAGCAAAGTACAAGGGCCTGGATGATGTGCTCACATCTGCAACGTTTGTCAGCAATCTGGGACTGATGTACGATGCGCTCACAGAGCTCAGCGACCTCTCTCGGCAACTCCAAAAAAGAGAGATGACACTGCCTACAGCAGATATGCTCTTAACTCGAGAAATACGAGTTTTTGAATCCATGGTCACCATGCCTGGCCCACACATGACTACAGTTCATACAGCTCTAGCTGAGAAGTCCTTCAAGGGTGTTGCCCTGCGTGAGAATGGCAGGCTTGTACAGATTCATGCAGGTCAGTTTTTCCGCAGTATGGTAGAGAATCTGAGACACAGAATGACTTCCACAACCTCCTCTCATGTCAGCACAAGAGAAATCCCATTACATGGCCGGGAGGCCCGGGACAATCAGCTAATCCAGGACATGAAAGTTATCCATCCTGGAAGTTGGCCTGAAGAGGAGTTAGACGTACAGTATGGGGACGTAGAGGTGCTACGTTTGTGCGAAGTGCTGAAAGTGGACAGAAGAGAGACTGTTCAGGGCTTTCGCGAATACAAGGAAACCAGGGCATCCCGTACACCTGCTGCCATGGAGCCTCTACTGAAAGCAGTCCGAACCATCGCTGTCTCCATTAGTGAGTGTGAGCGGGCATTCAGCTGCATGAACGATATCCTTACTGCAAAAAGGAATGCTCTCTCTGTCAGCCGACTGTCCAGCCTGGTTTTCATTAAATGTAATGGACCATCACTAGGACAGTTCAATCTGGAACAGTATGTGAGGTCCTGGCTGGCAAAGGGAAGGAGAAGTGCTGATGAAAGAGCCTGTCCAGCTCCAGCCCCTGATACTGATGTCCCCAAGGCCTTCTGGAGCCTTTTCTAACAATGTGAAGTATATTGCAAAGCAGCTCACCCAGTGAGAAGACTTTTGGCATAATGTGCCGATTTGTACAGATCCTGGAGATAGAAGGACTTCAGACCAACCAGGGAGTTATCTGATCAGCTTGGTGTTCAATGTAACTCTTTACCATGGCTCAGACTTTGTTACTTGCAGTTACAGTTTCTCATTTTAGATTGTGCAAATTTTGCATTTGTTTTTACATGTTCTTTGTTCATGCTCTTTATCATTTTTCTGAGTTGGAAAGTTAGATTGCATCATAGTTTACTTTATACATATTTGTATTCTTCAGTGGTGAAGTATATTGCAAAGCAGCTCAGCCATGTGAGAAGACTTTTGGCACTTTTTCGTTTTTCGTTTTCTGAGTTGGAAAGTTAGATTGCATTCAAAATGTACAGAAATACTTAATTTTGTTAAAGCTTTTTATAAAAAATGCTTCTGACCAGAGCTTTGTTTCCTTGTCATTAATGTTGAACACCACCAGAGGGGCTCTCACCTGAAAGGTCTCTGCTTCATGTGTCTTCAGCAGAAGATCTAGACTTTGATTGCTATATTTTCAGTTAATATTGACCTTACTGAGCTTTAGCCATATCCGCTGCCTATCATAAAAAATGTTAAGTACAGTGAACCTTTCTAAAATATACAGTAGTAAAGAGACAAACCCACCAGCATTATAGTAGCCAAATTCTTGTTTGTGGGCTGTATATATAAAATTGACTTGAAAAAGTTGCTGATTTTAGAGTACTGGCACCTTTTTCATTCCAATTCAAGCACTGAGTGGGTCCTAATGGTGCAAGACGGGGAAGGCAGACATAATTGCTTAAACATATAGGCTTAACCCTTTAATTGGCAGACCAAGAAAAAAATCTATGGAAAAAGTATTTGTTTGCATTTTTTTTATCAAATGGGACACAAACTACTTTTTTTTTTACTGTCTACACAGTTTTGTTTTTATGAGCCTCAACCAACTGGTCTTGCTGGCATTTTATGGTAAAAGTGCATTTTCAACAATCATCATCTACAGTATTTGTATGCATCAAACTCAAATAAATGTTTTTCTTTTATGGAAAATGAGCAATATACCAGATATATTCATACAAGATAATAAAGGATAATTGTCAACAATTTTCTTTTTTTCAAGCCATCAGCATAACTATCGTGGATCATAAAATCCATCAGTTGTTTAACAACTCCTGAATCCATCCCCTCTTGGTTAGCCCTAACATAACATATTCTCACACACACACACACACACAGCCGATCTTTCTCTATGTCTATCTCTACAGTATCTCTATGCCAGGGGCGGACTGGCCATCTGTAGAATCTGGAGAACCACAGAACGGCCGGTCGTCAAGGGCCGTTGGCGGCCGGCACTTTAAAAAAAAAAAGCTTTAACGTCATCATTTAAATTGCGCTGACGGCCGACAGAGGGCGACAGCAGCTGCTAATGCAGTTGTGTGGCTCTTATGTCAAATAATCACACACGAAGAAGAACAAATACCGGCCACATGAAGAGAAGGGATTAGACGCCGCGGCAGACAGGGAGAATGAAAAAACATGGTTAAAAAAAATAAAAATCAAAGAAAACGAAAAGAAAAGAAAAAGGTGGGCCGAGAAGGCAAGAGAAAAAAAGGTGAAGTCACTCGCAGGTGGAGCATATAAATGTCGCAAATTGACAGACCTTTTTGGCAGCAGCGCTGCTACAAGCTCTATCATCATCAGCAGCTTAAAACAAGTGCAAGATGATGAAGAGAATGATGTGGGCGCGAGTTCAGATATACAGCCAGCATTCATGATGAGGGACAGAGTTGAGCTGCTGGAAGAACCAGCTCAACCGGCACACGTGCAGGGCAAGAGCAAGAGGTGGGTGAGAATTATCCCTTGAACTCAGTGTCGTTTTCTCCTGGAGGCCAAGGGAAGCCAGTCTTCCCCTGTTTTTTGCATTGTAGTTATAATATTAATAAATAAATGAAAACACTTCGTTTAGTTTCGGTAATTATTCTGTCGGCCCGTCTCTCCCCCATTCTCATTGAGTATTTTACAAAGAGTGAAACAGCGCCCCTCTAGATGTTATGGTGAAACAGTAGATTGCACTCTCTGTTGCGAGAGGAGGCCAGCCGAAATTGGCTTCCCTTGGTGAAAAAAAATTGAGGGATTGACCAATCAGATGAGGCTCACGTCATGCCTCACAATCCAATCAAATCGCATCAACTTCAGTTCGTACTGTAACTGTCATCACTGCCCTTAAAAAGTAGCAAGCAACTGAAGCAAGTGCAATTTTGGAGGGTGGAGATTTGGAGTATTTCATCAAAAATAATTGTACTAAACTTCCGCTACAGCAGCAACTAAAAATGAAATCTGATGACAGGCCAATAATCAAACTGGAGCTGTGTACAGCGAGGAAAAAAGGAGTGAATCAGAAACTTTAAATAATAAACAGCGGATTTCTAACATTTGACATTTCATGTGGCCGGACTGGGTCAGTTTCCAGGGCTGAATTTTAGTCCCAGTCCGCCCCTGTCTCTATCTATGTCTCTATCGCTATCTCTCTATAATCACAAACTAAGAAAGTTGTGACACTTCCGCCGGTTTATATAGCCTAGACAATGTAGGATAGACATACATATAAATATATATAGCATGTATGTATATATATATATATATATATGTATATACATATATATAAAATAACAATTTCATTATATGGATTCAACTTGTGCCCCCCCGCTGGACTTGTCTGTGGTTAGCCGTTACTGTGACATCAGTATCAGCCATGGAAGATAGTTTGTTTGTTTCATTCTAAGCTATCCAGCAATGTTATTTTCATTTATGTTGTTTTTTTTCTTCTGCACAGTGTAGAGTCTTGTTGTGATGAGAGGGATGGAGGTATTTAATAAAAACCTTGCTCGCTGGAGAATAGCTAAAGAAGTCCTGTCACAAGTTAATCGGAGAGGATCACAGCTGGCCACGGATCTCGATGCTGCATTCGGGCTGTGAGTAAACAACTTGTGTCTTACTTTTAGGCTGTCTGGAGGTATGGACAGCTATCAAAGCTACTAAACATCACATTAACAACGATGTACAAATGAAAGTCGGAGACAAATACATATTTGAAATGATTTATTCACGTTTGCAATGTTTTGAACAGACATCCCCAGTCACCTCATTGTCATTTTGTAGTCCTCGCTGTACGCGTCTGGATATCGGCATCGCAACCACAACCTCACACACTGGTACTGAATGTGCATCAAAGTGTTCCTATGGAGCCAAATATACCAAAAGATAAATGTAAACAACAAAAGAAGCGATCGAAATGTGTATTTCCTGGTTATTCGACAATGGCTCCTCAAAGTACACGCCCCATTCCTACCGTTAACGTAACGTAACGAGTTCCCCGGTGTAACCAGTTAAACGGTAACACCGGTACTGCGTACCGGTGAGTACCGGCCCAATTCCAGCACTGGGCAGTGCCCATAAAAGAATGTAGTCTTTCAATATCATGACAATAAAGCTTAATTCCACCCACCAAACACAAAATTGTCTGGCTTGAAGATCTGCCCAAAGGGTCCAGACCTCACAGAGTCCATGGTGCCAGGCTCCAAGTCCACAAGAATGGCACGAGGTACATATTTTCTATCTTGTCGAGAAAAGAGAAAAGACAGGGAGAGAGAAAACAGACCAGCTCAATAATGTGGGAAACCACAGTCTTGGATGTTACACACAAATACATAATGTGGGAAAATCTATGCATGACAGCAGACATGAGAAAGTAATAACATGTGTTTTACCTCAGAATGAAAAAGCAAAGGTGAATATGTGTTGTTGACATACCAGTGGCCTCATTGTAGTAGACACTGATCCTGTCCAGCTGCAGGTCACTGTCTCCGTTGTAAGTCCCGGTGGGATCGATGCCGTGTTCATCGCTGATCACTTCCCAGAACTGCACACACAAAAGGAAAGGTGTCACATGACTTGCAAAGAAAATACACGTGTACCCATTAGCAGTGTGTTTTTTGTGACTGGGGACTTTAAACGAGGAAAACAGCGATGGGTCTGCATTTTGAGGTTTTGATGGAAATTATATTTTCCCTGTTCACAGAGCCATATATTAACCCATGCAATGCAACACAGCTGTTAATATCTACATAACCATTGATTGATGACTCAGCATAATGCATTTCTTTCAGATGGAGAGAGCACAGAGAGCTTCAGATCACAGCAGGGGCAACACTGGAAATGAACTGCATGCGGCCACACTTCACTGAAGACACCGATTGCGTTCAGATCTGTATTCATGTCTTGTTCACTTGTTAAAGGCCACAGTGTGTATGCATTACATCCCATAAGCGGTTGTGACTGTTGCGTATGCAGCCATTTGCCTGCACGTGTTTTTATGATACCTTCCTACTATGGCTTTTGTCATGCTGCTGGTGAATTTATGCTAACAGCAGCAATAGGAGGATTTGGAATAATCTGGATAAGCGGGGCTGCATTGCTGCTCAGTACTTAAGAGATTGGGAGTCTGCTGTGGTTTAAGTATCCTGACATTTAAAAAAGACCATGTAAAACAAAAATCTCCAAGTGACCTTAATATGAAAAAGAATGACCTAAAGACCGAAAAAAGTATAGATATGTTACAGTGTAAGATGGTTATCACTACAGACTGAAAAGTAATCATAGTGAAAGAATGAGGACAATAAGCAGGAAGGCAAAACCACACCCTGACCCAATTCACCACAATGTAGCTGTTCAGCAATCCCGTCAATCACATCCACTGGACATCTGAGTCAATGAGTCCTGGGGGAATGGAAACAAATGGAGATCTGCACTGCCACTAGTTATTTTAACACCAGTAGGCAACACAAAGAGACAAATGATACTCCATGCTTTGAAAGGTGGGATAGACATACATTTACTTCATTAATTCCAGACACCTAAAGGTACACATGATTTCCTGCAGTTCCTATTCAGTGTTCTACAAATAAAATAAAAGCATGTGGTTATATGTTGTGTTCATTTCCTAGTCTTCCAGAAAACCAGCTGCAGTTGCATATCAAGTCAATTGTGAACCCAATGACTTCACCCACTGGGTATCAGCTGTTTCCTCCGTTCCTCCCCTATCCCGACCCTAATTTGGTTACAGGAAAGAAAAGGACATTGATTACAAAGCCAGGCCCCGCTTTACTGTACATTAAAACCTCTGTCAGCAGAGCATCTCTACAGTAATGATGTATCCTTTAATATATGGGACATTGCTAATGTGGTCTCCAAACTATATTTGAATACTAGGGCAAGGTTCCTGTGCGCTTGAGAGTTCCAATTTAAACATATGCTGTTAGTAGCAAATGATCCGTTTGGCATGAGGTAATAAGACAGGGATAATAAGGGCTGACTGGACAGTACTGTGGCAGACTGCTCTATTGTTCATGGGTGTGTTGAGTAGGCTATTGTACTTGTGAGACAGACTGCCCGGCCCTATATTATCAAATGTACTCAAATGAAAAAATAAAATTATGATTGAATTTTGTTGCTTAAAACACTGCCAATGCATTGCTCTTTATCAGTCTTTTAAAAGGAACAATTGTCTCACATATTATCCATGATGGCACACCCTTTCCTCATCCTCCTACCCTGCTTTCTCACCAGCTGAAACAGCAGTCTGCATCTACAGCCTGCAGGAGGAAATCAATATATTGATCCATCAGGGATTTGAGGGTAAAAGTGAGCAGCACAATCCTAGCTCCAACTTATTGTCTGAGTTGCAGCCACATCTGTGTCTGCCAGACAAAGAAGGATCCACTGACTCTGAAGGGCTCTGGAAAGTGAAGAATAGACTGGTTTCTTTTCTTTCCTTTCTCCAGACAATATCAGAAGAATCCTCAGCTGTTGAGACGCAAACAAAAACCGGTCGAGACCAGGTCGAGACACAAGAGCCCCGTTATACCGTTATTTCTATATGCGAGTAGTAAGCCAGTGTCTGCTCCACACCCACCACCAGCTACTGCAGTGCACGGAAACCAGACAGAAAGCACACAAAGAACCATCAACAGTTGTGAATCTGCATTTAGTGATGTTTTAAAAAAAGGTGTATGAAAACAGCTGTTTGTATAATGAAACAAAATAAGTTATTTTTTGTAATGTAAAAATCAGCTTTTTAAAAACTTAAAATAAGCTTTATATCCTGCATAATGAGCCAGCATATGATGTTTTATCAATTGTATTTTTTAAGAAATGAAGAAATCCTTATCAGTTATAATTTCTTACCTTGGCACCAATCTGGTTACCGCACTGGCCGGCTTGGATGTGCACGATTTCCCTCATAGTGGAAGCTAAAGTTTCACAGTGACGAGCAGATAGACGTATGACTTCGTGGGGACTTGGAGCCTTCCCAAGACTGGCGTGGAAGTGCCGGACAATGCATTTATAATGTTGGAGAGCATCCAGAGGCAGGGGCATGGGCAGGGGCCGGGAAGTGGGCTGGGCTTAACTACCAGACTCAGCGGTGATTGGCTGAAAGAGGATGAGGAGGGGCGCTGCTGCAGATCAGGGTGGGGAAATGAGATGCAGAGATTCACCAGGATTTACTAGCTGGTGTCGAGAAACCCAGTGACATGTGTTTTTTTTTCGTTTTTTCCCCAGAGGTGAATAACCAAGCAGCTTTAAAAATCCCTCTTGTTACTGTAACACTCCCTGCAGAGGAGACAGATGACAGTTTCAGCTAGAGACAAGATGGGGTCAGTCAGCCCCTGTCATCAGGGTCCTTTGTCTCAACACAAGGCCTATGTAGAAGATGCTCTGGAGCCCTTTTATCATATTGCAGGATCTCAATTATTATTTAAACAACAATTTTGTCTGTCAAACTGTTACATCAGAGTAGTCCAGGAGTCTTGTTACATTGGGATCTAGTTTTCTTTGTAAGACTTGCGCACCTATAGGCTAAGATAAGCTATTTCAAAGCAGCTGCTTATATGTAATGCGAAAGTGAAATCAAATCTTCATCTGCACATTGAGTTTATATTACATTATTTATTTGTTTAAGCACTTCAAGGACGTCCCATTCATTATGGGTTTTCGCTTTGGTCTTTTCAGTAGCCGTCCATTTTGTGGCTCTGTGGTTTGCATTAGAAAGTGGTGAGCCTCATAATATAGCTTGCTTGACATAAATGTATGTTGTTTTTTTAAAACCAACTCATATGATGAGATAAGAGGAGATCGGCCTTGAGCTGATTACTCTCCAAACATGTCTAAGAGAGAAAGAGAAGCAAAAGACAACTAAAGCAAACAGGCAAATATTGAAAAAGGTGGATCATATCTGATGCCAGTTAGCATGTTTTCCTGTGACATAAAAGTGAAACAAATAATAAAAAAGGAACTGAACTAAATCAAGATAAACTTCATTAAAACTGTTGCTGATAGCTTATTATCTTAACTTAATCGATCGTTTTCAAACTCTTGATCACGGCAACTGCCTGACGTTGTAATCACACGTTACTATAACTTAAGCTCTCACAACTCTCCTTCTCTTAGCGACTGTAACTCCACAGTTGCCAACACTCTTTTCGGGTTTGCTAACGGTAGCTACTTTAGCTTGATAGCTAGCCATGGCTCTTTCCCCACCCTCGGGTGCTATTTCCTGCTCTAACTGTCTCATGTTTGGTTACTTCCCTACCTCCTTTACTGGTACCGATACATGTGTTAAATGTAGTATAGTTGTTAGGTTGGAGACGGGAATCATAGCCATAGAAGCCCGGCTCCGCATCTTAGAAAGAAACTCAGCTACAGTAAAGCCCATGTTAGCCGGTGCGGACCGGCAAAAGGTAGCTCCTATTAGCCGTCCCCCGGCAACTCCCGAGCAGCAGGGAGACTGGGTGACTGTTCAGAAGGGGCATAACGCGAAACCCGCAGGTCCCCACCAACCCGTTCACGTATCTAACAGATATTCCCCACTCAGCGAGACACCCGCTGAGAAGCCAACTCTGGTTATTGGTAGCTCTATTATGAGACACGTGAAATTAGAGACCGAAGCCTCCACAGTCACATGCATTCCGGGGGCCAGAGCGGGCGACGTTGAGGCGCATCTTAAACTGCTGGCTAAAAATAAACGTAAATACAGTAGGATTGTTATTCACATCGGTGGTAATGATGTTCGTATACGCCGATCAGAATGCACCAAACTTAATGTGGAGTCGGTGTGTAGTTATGCTAAAACAATGTCGGACACCGTAATCTTCTCTGGTCCCCTCCCCAATCTGATCAATGATGACATGTATAGCCGCATGTCATCATTTCAGCGCTGGTTGTCTTGGTGGTGCCCAGCAAACAATGTGGGCTTCGTAAATAATTGGACAGCCTTCTGGGCAAAACCTGGTCTGATTAAGAGAGACGGCATTCATCCTACTTTGGAAGGTGCCGATCTCATTTCGGCAAACATTTCAGGGTTTTGTGGACTTAATCCATGACAAACTGGAGTTGAGACCAGGAGGCGGAGTCGCAGTCTTACACGCTTCTCTGCGCTCTCTCCTAGGCAGTCATCCATAGGAATCCCGAACCCAATAAAATACCCAATATTAGCGGTGTGTGTGTCTGCCCAAGGACAAGTTAAGGTAAAACCTAATAGAGGTGTCATACATAATAACCTAATCAAAGTAAATGTAACAACTACTACAGTGCAACAAAACAGGAATATTAAATGTGGTCTCTTAAACATAAGATCTCTAGCATCTAAAGCAATATTGGTAAATGATTTAATATCAGATTATAATATTGATATATGCTGTCTCACTGAAACTTGGTTGAGACATGAAGAATATGTCAGCATAAATGAGGCCACTCCACCCAGCCATATTAATACTCATATTGCCCGAGGCACGGGCCGAGGAGGTGGAGTTGCAGCAATCTTTGACTCAAGTTTACTTATCAATACTAAACCAAAATTAAATTATACCTCCTTTGAAAGTCTCGTTTTTAGTCTTACGCATCCGACCTGGAAAACTTTGCAGCCAATCTTATTTGTTACAGTGTACCGTGCACCAGGTCCTTATTCAGAATTCTTATCTGAATTCTCTGAGTTTTTATCAACTTTGGTTCTTAAAACAGATAAAGTAATTATCGTAGGTGACTTTAATATTCATGTTGACGATGATAAAAATAGCCTTACTGTTGCATTTAACTCTATATTAGATTCTGTTGGTTTTTGTCAGAGTGTAAATAAACCAACCCATTGCTATAATCACACTCTCGACCTTGTTCTGACTTATGGTATTGAAATTGAGCAACTATTAGTCGAACCGCATAATCCTGCTTTATCCGACCATTTCTTAGTAACTTTTGAAGTACTGTTACGAGACTACAAAGCATTAGTCAAAAGCTCCTGCAGCAGAAACCTATCTGTTAGTGCTATAGCCAAATTTAAGGAAGAGATTCCACCAATACTTAACTCGATAGCATGTCTGCATGTAAGGGAGGAAACTTATACAAAATGTACACCACCCCAAATTGATCATGTTGTTGATAGTGCTACAGATGCGCTGCGAATACAATTAGACTCTGTTGCTCCTTTGAAAAAGAAGAAAATAAAACAACATAGACTAGCTCCATGGCATAATGCCGAAACCCGCAAAATAAAGCAAAAGTCGAGACAACTTGAAAGGATATGGCGTTCTACTAAACTTGAAGAATCTCGTTTAATTTGGCATATTACTCTCAATGAATATAAGAAAGCATTGCGTAAAGCGAGAGCAGCTTACTACTCTTCATTAATAGATGAGAATAAGAATAATGCAAGATTTCTTTTCAGCACTGTAGCCAGGCTGACAGAAAGCCACGGCTCGATTGAGCCTTCTATTCCCATAGCACTCAGTAGTAATGATTTTATGTGCTTTTTTAACGATAAAATTGTTACTCTTAGAAACAAAATTAATGACCTCTTGCCTTTGACCAGTATAGTGTTATCAACAGCTCCCGGAAACGTAAGTTCTAATATTACACTAGATAGTAAACTAGAATGCTTTTCAGCCATAAACCTTGAACAATTAAATTCAATGATTCTCTCTTCTAAACCATCAACGTGCATGTTAGACCCAATTCCAACTAAGCTGTTGAAGGAAGTTTTTCCATTAATTAGCACTTATTTATTAAATATTATGAATATGTCTTTATTATCAGGCTATGTTCCACAATCATTCAAAGTAGCAGTGATAAAACCGCTTCTTAAAAAGCACAACCTCGATCCAGAGGTTTTAGCCAACTATAGACCTATTTCTAATCTTCCGTTCCTCTCAAAAATTCTTGAGAAAGCGGTCGCAAAACAGTTGTGTGATTACTTAAAAAACAATGATTTATTTGAAGCTTTTCAGTCTGGCTTTAGAACACATCATAGCACAGAGACAGCTCTGGTTAAAGTCACAAATGACATTCTAATAGCCTCTGACAAGGGACGTGTCTTTATTCTTGTTTTGCTCGATCTCAGTGCTGCATTTGATACTATCGACCATGATATCCTATTGCAAAGACTAGAGCACTTAGTTGGCATACAGGGAACTGCTTTAGACTGGTTTAGGTCCTATCTATCTGAACGCTCTCAGTTTGTACGTGTCAATGATGAATCTTCCACGCAAACCAAAGTTAGCCATGGAGTGCCACAGGGCTCAGTGCTCGGACCTATTTTGTTCACATTATATATGCTTCCGTTAGGCAATATTATAAGGAATCATTCTGTAAACTTTCATTGTTATGCGGATGATACTCAACTATATTTATCAATCAAGCCTGATGAAATTAATCATCTAAATAAAATTCAAGACTGCCTTAAGGACTTAAAAACGTGGATGACCTTAAACTTTTTGATGTTAAACACGACCAAAACTGAAGTTATTGTACTTGGCCCGAAGAATCTACGAAACAAATTATCTAAGGATATACTAACTATGGATGGCATTAATTTGGCCTCCAGTGAGACTGTAAGGAATCTTGGTGTTATATTTGATCAGGATTTATCCTTTAAAGCCCACATAAAATCAATTTCAAGGACCGCCTACTTCCATCTACGTAACATTGCAAAAATCAGGCATATCTTGCCTCAAAACGATGCAGAGAAACTAGTCCATGCATTTGTTACTTCAAGGCTGGATTATTGTAACTCTTTATTATCAGGGTGTACCAAGAAGTCAGTCAAGTCGCTTCAGCTGATTCAAAATGCTGCGGCTCGTGTACTAACCAGAGTTAGGAAAAGGGACCACATTACTCCTGTTCTGGCTGCCTTACACTGGCTCCCTATAGAACACAGGATAGAATTTAAAATTCTTCTTCTCGCCTACAAAGCCCTTAATGGGCAGGCGCCATCTTACCTTAAAGAACTCATTATACCCTACTGTCCTACTAGGGCATTGCGTTCCAAGAATGCAGGGTTGTTGGTTGTTCCTAGAGTCTCTAAAAGTACAATGGGAGCCAGAGCCTTTTCTTATCAAGCTCCACATTTGTGGAATCAGCTTCCAGTTTGTGTTCGGGCGGCAGACACCCTATCCGTTTTTAAGAGTGCGCTTAAGACCTTCCTTTTTGATAAAGCTTATAGTTAGGGCTGATTAGATCCAGCCCCTAGTTTTGCTGATATAGGCTTAGTTTGTCGGGGGACATCTTACTTCTTCCTTCTCTCTGTCTATACCTGTGTACTCTCATGTTCCGATTAACCCAGCTTCCCCAAATGTCTTTCTTTTTGGTGTCTATATACGCCGGGATCCGGAGTCATGGATGATCCTGCGCTCCTCTGTCCTGGATCGCGAGCCCTGGATCTTGAGTCGTGGCTGTGGTCCTGGATCATAGGTCCTGGATGGATATCCTCGTGGATTCATCTTCCTATTATACACACATGCATTTCCAAACATTTGGACTACCTATGTTGCAAATGTATTATCTTTTCAATTTACACACGGCATCTATTGCACGTCTGTCCGTCCTGGGAGAGGGATCCCTCCTCTGTTGCTCTCCCTGAGGTTTCTCCCATTTTTCCCTTTAAACTGTGGGTTTTCTCCGGAAGTTTTTCCTTGTACGATGTGAGGGTCTAAGGACAGAGGGTGTCGTATTGTCATACTGATATTTTGTACAAACTGTAAAGTCCACTGAGACAAATGTAACATTTGTGATATTGGGCTATATAAATAAACATTGATTGATTGATTGATTGATAAAACAACCTTGGAAGAAGAGGCCTTGGGAGGCAACTTCATCATCCTCAAACTCTAAGACCTGATAAAATGGAGGAGCAACAAGGCCAGGCCCTTTCCCAGCTGTGATTACATTACATATTACTTGTTAGACGCTTTTATCCAAAGCGACTTACATACTGAGCACTGTGGGCTGACTGCAGTGGGGTTTGAACCTGTGACCCCCTGATCCGAACACAAACGCACAACCCACTGCGCCACACGCCTCCGTGAACAGACCGAAGCAAACCCAACGACCTCCATCTCTATGATATAATCAGATTATGTTTTAACACTGGATTAGAGAATATCAATTAATCTCTGCTGCTGGATGATTTTTATTCAATCTGGTTTAAAACATATTTATCCTAAATGTTGTCAAAATTATGTAATTTACTCAACTGAATTCATTTGACTAATCCACGTCATTGTTGCATTACTGACAAATGTTAATGCAAGACTTCAATTTGCACATTATTGCTGATATATCTAAATGCATAACACACATGATGGGTTGCACCTATACTTTAGACATTATTCCACATAAATCAACTATTAAAAGGAATACTGTTGAGATGCATTCGTGTTAGCTGACTATCACAGTAATGTGTTGAGGTTGATGGTTACAATGTCATCTCAGGCAAAGTACAACCACTTTCAAAATCAAATCAAACGGCACATTGTAAAAATATTTTCTCTCCTTTGCTAAATACCCTTCTTTTCAAATCCGACATTCAATGCACAAATAAGCAGTTGAATCTATATTGAATGAATGTTGTATATTAACACTAATTTAAACAGACTTTGTTTAGACATCTGGCAACATGGTGCCTCGGGCAATGCAATGAAAAAGGTCAACGGAAATCAGCATTTTCAAACCATCTCAAACCGCTCTAAAGAGTAGTTTTGGATGGAAACATGATTCTTACCTTTACTTAAGTAACTGAAAGCTACTTTATTTCATCTATCAGTTTACTAGGTACACCAACACAAAGGGCTCATCGAAGTTCATAACAATAACAAATGTGTTGACTTTGTGAGGATTCAATTCTGTGTTTATTACTGATGTCATACTTTAAGCTGTCATAATAGATTTTTTATAAATGAGACACTCCACAAAAATATGCATCAAAATCTATGATTTTGCTTATCATTCAAATATACACCACTGATACATACAGAAAACAGTACCTTTGTGATGGGGGGTTGCCTCTCATACATTAGCTGTACAAATTCAGAAAATTCATGAATATTTGATGATATATGATGCAATTGGCTGTATTTAAATATAAAATATTAATCGTGCAACATATAATTTATCGCAAACATTTTTGTCAAGGACATCAGAACCACATTTTCTTTAAAGTGAGTCACATTTTTATAACTACGGAAGAGGATTAGGGGCCACATGTGAACGTTTATTTGAGATACGACCAAAACTAACGTTTTTAGTTCTGAGATTAAAGTCAGAATTCTGAGATTTCAGAAAAATAATGTTTCCCCTCCTAACTTTAATCTCACAATTCAGATTTATTTGATCTCAGTCTCTACTCACTTTTCTCTAAACGTTTGGTCATACCCCCCCACAAATGTCTCATGTGGCCCTAATCCTCTGCAGTAGTTTTGACTGCACAAAAAAGCTTGTACAGTGGAGGTGCAGTTATCACTACCGACCACTAGACGGCGACATAAATACGTCATCAGTTTATAGAGGAGGGGCGTGGTCACTGCACACTTCCCCCTCTTCTTCTAACAGACATTTTTGCAATTCCAATTGACGGGAAACGGCTTACTTGCTGACGGTCCGTGGCATCGGAAAACTGACCTCGATATATTCTAAACAAAACAGGATTTGCTTTTGTATTGACTCGATATCGGTAAGTCAACGAACAGTTCGCTTTGTTACATCGTTTAGCTGCAGTTTATAGCTGTGGTGTAGATAAACGCAGGTCTGTTTTCCAAACAGGCGTAGTGACGTTATCGACCCGTTTCCCAGTGTTGGTTAAAGCTAACGGTAGCATGCGAGCTAGCTTTCTTTGCAGCAGGTTATTTGTTTTTCCATTTGATATACTGTATGTCCGACGTTATTGTTGGTGCACTGTAGGGATTTTGTTTTTAAACTAATCACCGACAAGACATTGCGCATTAAAGGGAGCATGTTATAAGCAAACCCACCCGTTGTAATGGGGGAGGAGCAGTGTGTCTGACTCGAAAGAAACATGGAAGCTAGTTTAGTTAATTGAGGGTTTGGCTTGAAGGACTGACATAGACATGTGTCAGTTACTACGATACTACTCATGATTGTCTATACACCAAAACAATCCATCAAACCCAAATAATAAACTCTTAGGATAATGATACTTAAATATAAACACATTAATGATTACTTACTCTAACCGTAAAAACAGCTTAACATAAAATACACACAGGGCAGACTCTACAATATAGAAATACACATATTATATTAGATTAGGTGTACTTTAATCCTCCCAAGTTAGGACATGTTTCGACTTGTTAACAGGAATAACACATGAGTATGTATAAACACGGATGTATAAACTGTCTAATTGTTGAAATAGTACATTAACAAATATAATAAAATACATTAAAATGTAAAAAGATAAACATATACAGTGAATATATACATATCAACAATAGAACAAATATATAGGTATAGAGTAGTCTTTGGTATCCAGCTTTGTAGTTTCATTTATCCAATATTTGTTTTTCCAGTTTGACAATTATCTACAACCCAAATGCATCCATAAAACACACATTTACTGTAGTAATGTTCATACTTTGACAATATCTTGTCTTCATTTGTTTGCGGATAATCAGATACCAAGATGTTTTACACATGTGGACCCAATGAAGCCATGGTGGTGTCCGGTAAGATTGAGTTTTCCTACATCTCAAGGATGCATGGTAATTTCTCAGAATCACACAGGATGTTTAGAAGAGTTGGATAATGAAACCCTGCATATTCCATAATGATGTAATACTAAAGGTCACTGCACTGTGTAATGTGTAACGGTGTGTCCACACAGCAGCTTTGACCAAATCTTGAAAATCCTGGAGCTGGGCGTGTCTGACAGCTTGGGGATTTCGCGACCAACAACCAATCACATGAATATCACATGAATATCCCGCCCCCGACATACAAAGCAAAAATACCCGGTTCTTCTACACTATTGTCAAATAGGAAGGGCTATGATGAACATTTATTTTTTTAACATTTTGAACATTTATGAGATTAATGTTTATGGTGCTATTTTATGCTACATTCCATGCTGGCTAATGATACTGTCTATGCTAGCTAGCAACGAAGTAAACTAGCAACGAAGTAAACTGGATATAAAATCCCCAAACGAGCGAAAACCTACCAGTTTCCCCCACTGCCTCTGCCACCTCCCTCCATGCCTGGTTCCTCCGGTTTGTATCCCGGTAAGTAAATAGGGACTGGTCATAAAGAACCGGGTGATTTGCTACCGCAATAACTAAGTTCTCCTCCATTTTTGTGGAATATAGAAATGAACTGCGGGTCTCGTTCTCCCAGCTTGCACGCGGTTTGATTGGCTAGCGCTTGAACTGTCAGATTTGCATAAACGGATCTGATTGGCTGTCGCTTCCAGCTCAGCCTCAAAAGTTGAACAATGTTCAACTTTGGAATCCTGAACATCCTGGAAATCCTGGAAATCTTCGCCTCGCCCCCCCACAATGCAGTTCGGCGACAAGCGAGGGAAAGTGACGTCATCCCCATTCAAAGTCAATGGGCGGAGACGCGGTGGACAAATCGCCAAAAGCTGCTGTGTGGACGGGCCGTAAGAGACAAGTTTAGTAAACAGTGGACATGTGTCATGTGATGTAATCATCACATGCCTGGATATTGAGCAATAGAGTCAACATGGAGTAAACTAAGAATGTTTCTGCTTGCTGTTACCTATAACAACCAGCTGTAATGAATCAATAGCATTTCTTCTTGTTGTAATCAGGGTTGCCGGTTGGACTGTGACTCAGTTACTCTATAAGTAACTAGCTGTATATTACTGAATGGTAGAGTTCTGTGTATGACATGTGTTTCCCCCCCCCCCCCAGGCTTTGGCCGTTCTCCTCCTTTAATGATTGCTGGAGGAAGAGTGTTCGTCCTCCCATGTATTCAGAAGATCCAGAGGTGATCCGTTTTCTCCATTTCTCTTTTCTGTTTCAACTTGAATTCAGCCGTCTGGTTTTATTTATTAGTCAATGAAAAAGGGAAATGATAGTTGTGAGAAAAGACATGTGTTACTGATGTGGTTTCTGAATCTGGAAGTGTTTTCTGTGGTTGATAATTTACTTAATTTCCGTTTGCTCTGCATTTTCATTCTTTCTCTTTGTTATTATATCTCACCCTTTCTTTTATTATATCTCCTTTCTTCTCAGGATTGCACTGAACACTCTGACTCTTAATGTGAAGAGTGACAAAGTCTACACCCGTCATGGGGTCCCTATCTCTGTCACTGGCATTGCACAGGTATGCTTTCAGTATAAAAACTCCATAAGGCTTTTAATTAACGGAGTCAAACAGCTGTGCATGTTTCCACAAAAAGGTTATCTTAATTCATTGTGCATGCATTGAAAGATAGGAAGGATGATCAGCTGTTATTAAAAGCAAAAGCTGAATAATTGCAAATACAGGCCTGCTGCACTCTGTATGACTGATTAATGACATATTTATAAAATAAGGGAACATGTTAGGGCTGTGCGATTATGGCAAAAATCATAATCACGATTATTTGGGTCAATAATTGATATCACGATTATTTTGACGATTATTCATTGACCATTTATTGAACTTTAAAACAAATAGTATTTTACCAATAAACAAGATCAACAAATATGTTGGAGCGCACTTCCAAAACCATACTAAACATATATTAATAATATGATACATAAAAATAAATTAGACCAAAATAAATGAAATCAAACATGTTGCAGTGCACTGTCACAACCTACTGAAAACTCCTTAACATATAGCCAACATGTTGGTAAAACATATTCAACATATTCCACCCAGTTAAACGTTGAAGGCTGGCCCACCGTCATGGTCCAGAAGTAACAGGAAATAAATGTTGAACTACAATTTAAGACCAAATAAAAATGTTTAGGCCACCATGGTCACACCATGCTGGTAGGACTGCTCGTGTCATCTCTTAAAGATTGTTCGCAAGAAACACCAGCCTGTTTACATGGTCTGGTTTCAGAGATGAGCGCAGGCAGGGGACGATATTGCCACCTGTACTGAAGACTAGGGATGCACCGAATATTCGGCCACCGAAAATTATCGGCCGAAAATGGTTAAAAAGGCCCTTTCGGCCGAAAGGGTTTTAGCACCGAAAAAATATCACCGAATGTCAGAACAGGCTTACGTTGGTAACCTAACGTGTTGTTGTGATGACGTAATAAAGACGCGGCGACCATGCTCGCGGCTGGCTCACAGGGGGGGGAGAACATTGACCTTTGTCATCGAGATTGCCCTGAGCCTTTAACAAATCGTATTAAATAATCTGATGACAGATTGTAAACAGAATAGCTGAAATTTTAACAAACTAAATAACTCAGTTTCCTCTAATCATTAACCCATGTTTGTATCATGTAGTTAACTCCGTGTGTTGCTGCTAGCATACATAACACCTGACGTGGAAACGTTACTCGTGATGGAGCTACAGAGCTGCTAGAAAGACAGTCGAACCCGGTACATTCCTCCGTCTGCATGCGGTGCACTTTTGCTAAATGTTTAGACAAATTGCTCGTGCTTACATGCTAAACTCTTATTGCACTTATGGTAACAAGTATTCTCCACATCGAGACGGGTAAAGTTTAACCACACCTCGGAGCGCGTTCTCTCCGCCATCTCCGCAGTGTGCTCCGCTGCATGTAGCAGCTGCGTGTGTGTAAACTGCCCCGCCCCCTCGCACACAGATGGGGGAGAGAGATCTCGTCTGATCGAAAATACATCATAGACACATTTGTTGTCTTTGCATATTAGAAACGAGTTGGCGACACTAAGACTGCGATATAATGTTTTTTAGCAATAATACATGACATATATAAATGTACTGTATGCATTCAAAAGTGCTGAATAAATGTTTTATGGACCCATAATAGTGATTATTATTTAAGTTAAGTTTTGCCATAATCATGTCTATTTCCATAATCAGGTAGCTGAACAACATTGGTAAAAAATGTATACATTATATATATATATTTCTATTAATCATTTTCGGCATTCGGTTTTCGGCCAACTGTTTCCTATTTTCGGTATCGGTTTCGGCCAAGAATTTCCCATTCGGTGCACCCCTACTGAAGACCCTCGGCCACGCCCTGACACATGGGGTGACGCCGGCCAATCACAAAGCTTTGATGCGTTCAAGTGCATTATTCTGGCACAGGAAGATTATGTTACAGGACATAAAACAGAATATTGTTGTTCTATTTTTAGACACATCTCGCGATCGACTGGTTGGGCACCCCTGGGCTAGACCATAGGTCTGTTGTGGTAGCAAAGTAGTCAGCTGAAGCCACATCTCTCTCAACTTCCCCACGGCATTTGTCATATAGTGCAGGCAGCGCAGACCTGCTGAAATAATACCGAGACGGCATCGCGTAACGCTTGTCCAACGTGTTGACAAGTTGCTTAAAGCCCTGGTTGCTAACAGTGCTAACTGGGCACATATCTTTAGCGATGTGAAATGTAATGGCACCTGTAATATCTCTGTGTCTCTGCGAGCTCGTCGCGTAGGCCGTTGCTCTGTACAATGCGTCCTGAATCGATGACTGTGATGATGTGGTGGATGAAGTCGAGCGGGCATCTGCTTTTTGTTGTATTACTGCCCGGTCGTATTGCACTTTGTGGTTGTATTTCAGATGATTAAAGAGATTGGTTGTGTTAGCGTGTGGTGCCAACACAACCTGGTAACAAATCCTGCACTGTACTTTGTTTTGCTCCACGTCGGACTCCTGAAAGCCAAAGTACTTCCAAATAGTGGAAATAGTTGTACCCTTCTTTTTAACGAGTTGCTGCTCTTGTTCTGACATCTTCGCTCGCGCTGAACACTCACAACACATGTCACTCCCACTTGGCCGAGTGGGCTTTTAGGGAGGGGCGAAAGCGCACCCAGCAAAATAATCGTATTTTGTCAATTATGCTGTTTTCATAATCGTCGCAAGCCATAATCGTAATCGCGATTAAAATACGATTAATTGCACAGCCCTAGATTGCAGTCATTGTTAATATTACAATTGTTAGTTTTGCTTTGTAGTTCTTACAAAATATTTCCACTGAAACTCTGTAACATTCACACCCTTCTCCGCCAGCTCCTTGAAATAGAAAATAAAGAAATTAAAAGCAAAGCTCACAATATGGTTTTTTTCTTCAGGAAAATGTGCAAGAAATTCAGGAAAATAATAATAAAATTAAAACTGCGGTCGCACTTGTGCGCGCAGTGATGAGCGGGCCCTCGCGTCCGTGCGCCTGTCGGGGAGGGCGGCAGGTCGTCCCGGCGTCAAGCAGACGTGCGCGAGTCCTGGGAAATGAGCCGTTTCTCATTTCTATAATTTTCGCGTCCCAGACTCCCAGGTCCTCCGGCAGCGACTCGGAAACGGATGTCGAAGGAAAACAAATTTCTCAAAAGGCTCGTCGAGGATCGATTATCAAGGAGGCTGTCTGTAGGAGCCGTAACCGAAGATGCACTGATTTAGAGGAGAGAGGAGTGTCTCTGGAGGAGCTATAACCGAGGGTACACTGAAGTATTCTCCTGAGACGATTTCAGCCAAACAGTGATGTTTAAAAGAGGCGTGACGCATGGCTGGACTTCTGTCAAACGAAGCACAGCTCTGCAAACTGTTCCCGTTGTGATTATAAGTTATTTGAGATGATCAAATGTGCATCAGACTTTCTGCCCTTTACCATTTGTTTACTCACTAATCACATGTCCCCTGGATGTTAGGTGATGTTACAGTGAGAACAGCTGCTGAGGTCAGTGCAGAAAGCAGAACAGTGTGTATAATATATATCGCTAAATAACAAATGTAACAGGCCTACATGTCACACTTTATTTGTAGGCTTTAGGAGATATCTACAAATAAACATTAGGGTTAGGGTTAGGGAGTGTCTTTTGTAATGAATATGCCGCCAGCAAAGGGCGTTGTTGGACTAACTGTGTGTTGATGTGTGTGTGTTGTGTGTGTGTGTTGATGTGTGTGTGTGTTGTGTGTGTGTGTGTGTGTGTGTTGTGTGTGTGTGTGTGTGTGTGTGTGTTGTGTGTGTGTGTGTGTGTGTGTGTGTGTGTGTGTGTGGTGTGTGTGTGTGTGTGTGTGTGTGTGGTGTGTGTGTGTGTGTGTGTGTGTGTGTGTGTGTGTGTGTGTGTGTGTGTGTGTGTGTGTGTGTGTGTGTGTGTGTGTGTGTGTGTGTGTGTGTGTGTGTGTGTGTGTGTGTGTGTGTGTGTGTGTGTGTGTGTGTGTGGGTGTGTGTGTGTGTGTGTGTGTGTGGTGTGTGTGTGTGTGTGTGTGGTGTGTGTGTGTGTGTGTGTGTGTGTGTGTTGTGTGTGTGTGTGTGTGTCAGACAGGCAGGTCTCAGTAGCTTATCTGACATATAATAGGTCAAAAAAGGTACATTCTCCGTTAGCCTACGAGCTCCCCGTTTGAGCGAAGGACTATTACTTCTCAATGTAGCATGACATTGGATATGTGCTGAAGTTGTCCTGGATTGGAATTGTTCCGATCATTCCCCTATGAGGAGTTTGCAGAAATTTCCTTAAAATGCATGAAAAACGCACATTTTTGTAAATGGCCGACTTCCTGGGGGGCGGGGCTAATGGAAGGCAATTTGAAATATGTGTGCAATCATAATAGCAATATGTATACAGCGTTTCGTGAATATTGGAAAAAGTATACGCGAGTAGTTTGGAGTAATTTGGAGTAATTTGTGACATGTAAATCGTAATAAATGGTGTATTCGCTGTTAGCTTACGACCTCCACGAGTGATTTTTAAAAAATGTGCTCCTCAATTAAGTATCATATTGGATAGGGGCTAAACCTGTCCTGCATTGGAATTTTTCTGATCATTTCCCTATGAGGAGTTTGCAGAAATGTCCTTAAAATGCATGAAAAACGGCCATTTTTCAAAATGGCTGACTTTCTGGTGGGCGGGGCTAATGGAAGGCAATTTGAAATATGTGTGCAATCATAATAGCAATATGTATACAGCGTTTCGTGAATATCGGAAAAACTATATGCGACCAGTTTGGAGCAATTTGCGCCATGTGAATAGTCAAAAATGGTGTATTCGCTGTTAGCCTACGACCTCCACGAGTAATTTTTCTAAAATGTGCTCCTCAATTAAGTATCCTATTGGATAGGGGCTAAACCTGTCCTGCATTGGAATTTTTCTGATCATTTCCCTAGGAGGAGTTTGCAAGAACGTGCGTAAAATGGCTGAAAACCGCACATTTTTCAAAATGGCCGACTTTATGGGGGGCGGGGCTAATGGAAGGCAATTTGAAATATATGTGCAATCATAATAGCAATATGTATACAGCGTTTCGTGAATATCGGAACAACTATATCCGAGTAGTTTGGAGTAATTTGCAACATGTAAATCGTAAAAAATGGTATATTCGTAATACCACGAATAACAATAGGTATCCTTGCACTTCGTGCTAGGACGCCGTTGGGTCCTAGCACTCTCGCGCTCGGGCCCTAATAAATCTTAAACTTACACCAATGTCGTACAATTTTCGTACTTCAATCTCAATTACATTTAAAAAATAAAAATAAGGGAATTGGACGATCCTTCTTAATGGATAATCAACTTCAAAGTCCTCCTGATTACTCACAAAGCCCTCAACAATCAGCCCCCCCCCCACCTCACAGACCTGCTGCACCACCACACCCCTTCCCGCTGCCTCTGCTCATCAGAAGCCAACCTCCTATCCATCCCCACCCGCATCGAGCACCGGACCTGGGGGGACAGAGCCTTCGCTGCCCCCTCCCTCTGGAACTCACTCCCACAACCCATCAGAGACTGCACTGACCTCACCACCTTCAAAACACTCACCTCTTCAATCTGGCTTTTTAATGTGATGTTTGTATTATTTGACTTTAACTATATTTATTTATTTGTTGTTCTTTTCACTATATCTGTAAAGCGTCTTTGAGCACCTGGAAAAGCGCAAACAAAATAAATCTATTATTGTTATTAATAGCAGAGTGGAATATTTGATACGATCAAATAAGGTCATATGGATGCAAAAATAAGGCTGCATACTTCTTTCAGTATGTAGTGCAACTGCACTAGCATGCAGAATACACACAATTGGGAACAAACGTCTTATATCTTGAACTTTAACCCTCTTTCTCATTTATCCGTCGCAATTTTTGCACAATTTGAACAATATATTATAGGGGCCATATCTATACAAAACATGTCTCAGAAGTGTTTTGGTCAAAATACCAAATAAATCGCCCATTGCAGCATGCCTCATACCCCTCTCTTTCAGCCCTGTTACTAAATAATAATAATAATAATACATTTATATAGCGCTTTTCCTGGTGCTCAAAGCGCTATACAAGCAAGTAAAGTAGAAACAAAATAACAACAAAAGTAAAAAGTGCTAGGTGGAATAAGGGCGAGGGTTTAGTGGATTAGGGGTTGAAGGCAAGAGTGAAAAGGTGAGTTTTGAGGGATTGTTTTAATGATGAGAGAAAGTGCTGATTCTGGGTCAGTGGCTTCAAATGTAACCCATTTTGCTCTCAGATTGATTGATGCTTTTAACTTCAATATTTAAAAAAAAATCCCGGACCACCCTAGAGGATGTTAGGTCCACTCCCCACTTGTAAAAATAGCACTTTACCCCTGCTTACACCTATATGCCGTGAGCTGATTATCGAGCCTTCATTGTAACAGTTGCAGGTGTATGTGCGTGTGGGGAGTGTTGCAGTAGAAAATTCAACTGAAGCGCCCGGGACATTAATGGGAAACCCCACATGTTTGAGCACCCTCTATACGTCAAGCTACCCCACAGCACCCCCAAAAGAAAATATCTGGCGCCGCCACTGCACACCGGGGACACAAAACACATTGAAAAGTGCATTTTGCATAATAGGTGACCGTTAAAATAAAAATATGTGATCTTATGCTCGCCACAGATGGAGAGCTTTCCAAGTTAACATTGATTGATATGACTGCGATTAAATCAGCATATACTTCTGCCGGGGGATGCCACCCCTCAACATCTCTTGCCACCCCATGAATATTTGTCTAGATCCGCCCCTGATTGGAATGCATTAGTTTAGAATCAGGTGTCAATTCAATAATGTTGGTTGCCTAGCAACTGTATAGGCAACTTGGAATGCAATTATTTGAATAACTTAATAGTCGAACAAAGTGATGTCACACGGAATGTGCAGAGGTCACTATCTGGTCACATGATGCAATGATGTCATTATTGGCTTTTATCTTGTAGAACCAAATTCTTATAGGAGTCTTGAGTCCAGCAGTTCGTTGAGACACAACACAGGTTGCAGTACAGAGAGTATTTTCGCAACACAACACCACAACACAGAACAAACTGAAATGGCTCATCCAATCTACAATTCCTGCATATTGAAGCGCCGGGATCAAACAATGATGCGCAAACAGGCAGAGGAGGACTATAGGTCTGAGTCGGCTGCAAATGAGGTGGATTTCAAGAGAACGGACCGGCACTTATCATTGGCGCTTGACGCAGCCAAGGATAAGAGGTTCTTCCAGAATGAAAGTGTCAGGAAGTTCCATAGCGACCTCTTAAAAGAAAAAATAAGAAAGGACAATGAAGTTATTGCTGCGTATAATAGAGAGATAGCGAGGAAGGCTGACCAACAGAGAAGGGAAAAGGAAGAAGAGATACGTCAGTTATGTATTGATGCTCAGAGAAAAGAGGAGGAAAAAACTTGTCAGAGACGCCGTGATAATGTGGCTCTGAAAAACGAGCTTATTAAGAGGACCAAGGAGAAGAAGCTGTTGAGAGAAGAGGAGAGACGGCAGGAGAAGAAAGAAAGAGACCATCTCTGGGCCCTCGATGAACAGCATCAACAGAATCTTAGACATGAGCAACGAAAAGAACTGGAGGCAAAGGACAAAAAGCTAAAACTTCGCAAAGAGGAAATCTGTAGAAAAAACTGGCAAAGAGAAAGAGAAATTGAAAAACTGAACATGAAGGATAAAGAAACTAAACGTGTTCAGACTGACATAGAGGAAGTGCTGCAGCAGAGAAAACAGGAGAAGTCAGAACAATTCAAGATGAAGCAGATTCCTAAGGATATAGTTAATGACCAACTGGCAGATGCTAAAAAACAGCAGGCTGCTCAGAGAATCCAGAGAGACAAGGTGAAGTTCTCCAAGGAAGTGGCCGAGGCAGAGGCTAAAGTGATACAACGGCAGAAGGACGTGAAGGAGAAGAGGGATGCGGCTCTGAAGAGCATTGCCACTTACAGAGTGGAAAAACATCATAGAAATGAACAGAAGGAGAGAGAGGAGAAAAAGGCCAGCCTGGACTCGTTACATCAACTGAAACAGCTTGACAGGTTGTCTGAGGAGCAAACTAAACGAGAAGTGCATTTAAAAAGACAAAACAACATTAAGCATCAAGAGGTTGTATTATCTGATGCTGCTAAAAATAAAGCCCTTCATCAACAGAAGATAAGAGAGGACGTATATGCTTCCAGAGAAATGGAGAAACAGATTGCTGAGGGAGAGAATCAAATCCAGCAATACATGCGGCAGGAGGGCGGGCATCTTCCAGCAGCTCAGACAGGACAGGAGATGCCAGATTACAATTACTTCTGTCGACAAACTGATGAGCGGTTGCCCAAACGTGGTACTGCCCCATTTAGCAGGGCGTGCTTAATGAAACGGTATCTGGAACGCGGCAGCCTGCAGCTAGCCACGGTGGATGTGAGGCCGCACGATCTGCCAACACTTTCCAGAGCTGGTGATGGTTCAAAAGATGCAGGTGAACCGTTGCCCACGAAGGCAAATTCTACATGGCAGCGCACCCCTTCCTCGGAGGAGAAGATAAAGCAGTACCTGGAAAAGGACAAGTTTCAGCTCAAAGAGAGCAGTACTGCTGATCTGCGGCCAACCCGCCCCCCAACCATTAAAACACCGGGAGCACCTGCAGGAAGACACTCTGCCCCAACTGGGGTGGAGTCATCAAAGAACCGTGGGAAAGAAATAGGAGAGCGGTTGCCCAGATTGGACACTCCTAAAAGCCGGGACACCAAGCAGGAGAACAGTAAAGGGAACCTGCAGCGTACCCTCCTCACACCACTTCACAAGGAGAACAGTAAAGGGAACCTGCAGCGTACCCTCCTCACACCACTTCACAAGGAGAACCGTAAAGGGAACCTGCAGCGTACCCTCCTCGCACCACTTCACAAGAAGAACAGTGAAAATAACCTGCAGCGTACCCTCCTCACACCACTTCACAAGAAGAACAGTGAAAATAACCTGCAGCGTACCCTCCTCGCACCACTTCACAAGGAGAACAGTAAAGGGAACCTGCAGCGTACCCTCCTCACACCACTTCACAAGAAGAACAGTGAAAATAACCTGCAGAGTACCCCCCTCGCACCACTTCACAAGAAGAACAGTGAAAATAACCTGCAGCGTACCCCCCTCCCACCACTCACAATAACAAACACTCCTGCAGTAAAGATCTGTTCCGCTCGGGTTGTGTTGCGAGACCACAGGACAGTGACAGGGGAACCATTGCTCAGATATGCCACTCGGCAAACACAAATGATCAAGAGGGAGCAGGAGCACCTCACGTTAGGTAGTATGTATTAAATGGCCAATCTACATCCCCCCCCTACCCCTCTACTCCCCTACCCCACTTTTCCCCCTCTACCTTTAATGTAATGTGTTCCCATTGTTCCCCCTTTCCCCCTAAATCCATGTAGTCTTCATGAATGGGTTTTCTCCAGGTATTCTGGGTTTTTCCAACAGACTGAATGTTTCAGCATTAAAAAAACACCCGGGGGGGAGGGGGGGGTGCACGCTTACAGTAATTGCGCCGCATAAGTGCCCCGTTAAGCAGGGCGTGCTTAATGAAACGGTATCGGGAACGCGGCAGCCTGCAGCTAGCCACGGTGGATGTGAGGCCGCACTTTCTGCCAACACTTTCCAGAGCTGGTGATGCCCGCCATGGTTCAAAAGATGCAGGTGAACCGTTGCCCACGAAGGCAAATTCTACATGGCAGCGCACCCCTTCCCCGAGGAAGTTATCTTTAACTTAATGTGTTCCCCCTTTCCCCCTAAATCCATGTAGTCTTCATGAATGGGTTTTCTCCAGGTATTCTGGGTTTTTCCAACAGACTGAATGTTTCAGCATTAAAAAAACACCCGGGGGGGGGGGGGGGTGCACGCTTACAGTAATTGCGCCGCATATGCGCTTCGGGTGAGGCCCCCTCCGCGATGTGAGGCCCCCTCTGCGTGTAGGGAGGGGCGGGCCTGCTTATTGTCTTAAATGGAATAAGTAAACTGTTTACTGTTTTAAATATTTATCAAGTAATCACAATTTTGATTTGAAACTAGCGATAGAGACCGTAAACTTATAAAGAATATGTTTGCTGGAAGTGATACCGAGTTAATGAAGTGATAGGAAGATTATTTTCTCGTTAACTACTGTTCAAATGTTTTTTTTTTTCAATAAATGGATGTTTTCAAAATAAATGGATAATTGTTTTTATTGGAAGCTGTGGCTCAGTGGGATAGTGCGCTGAACTTTGAATCAGGGGATAGCAAGTTTGAGTCCCTCTGCAGTCAGCATGTCGTTGTGTCCCTGAGACACTTCACCCCAAATTGCTCCTGTGGGGATTGCCCACAGTATTGAGTATGTAAGTCGCTTTGGATAAAAGCATCTAACAAGTGACATGTAATGGAATAATCGTGATATCAATTATTGACCCAAATAACAGAGATTTTGATTTTTTCCATAATCGAGCAGCCCTAACGCACATATACAGTTCAGGTTAGGGCTGGGCGATTTTTTCGGTTTTCACGATTAATTGCATTTTTACTTTCCTACGGTTTGTGAAATGGCTAAACCTGATTTTTTGGATCTGTAATCAAAAAGCTCCTCAAAAACACTATCGAAGCAGTTCCTGCCGTTGCTACGTTAGTTCAAACAGTAACAACGCACTATTTTTCTTAGCGGATGCCTGTCAATTTAAATCAATACAAAACTATTTTTTAAATCAATAAAATCATTTTCTAAATCCATAAAAGCATTTCAATTAATATTGGGAGTCATGTCGTTACTTTGCTGAGAATTTGGCCATGTAATAAGCGGGATAATGTGCACATTGCACATTGCATAATGTGCCTTCATGCCGATCCCTCCGCAAAAAAAACGGCTCGTTCGCGGGCGAGAGCCGGCTCCCGTCGTTCACTTAAATAGTTCGCGACCGACACATCACTACGACAGACGTAGCATAAAAATGTCCACGAACACAGATGAAGAAGAACTCATTCCTAAAAAAGGTACCACTTCAGTAAGTTCAGTTGTATGGAAGTGGTTCGGGTACAAGCAGTCAGACATAGAACAAACAACTGTTCTGTGTAAGGTCTGTAGAAAGACGATCGCTGCAAAACATGGGAACACAACCAACTTATTCCAGCAACTGCGACAGAGACATGCAGTGGTGGAAGCTACATGAAGCTAACTTCCCAAGACTGAGTTATCTGGCCAAGAAATATCTCTCCATTCCTGCCACAAGTGCCCCTTCGGAGAGGGTTTTCAGTACGGGGGGTAACATTGTAACATGCCAAAGAGCATGCCTCAAGCCAGAGGCAGTAGACAGGCTTGTCTTCCTCGCGAAAAACCTGTAGAAAACTTCCTAGAAAGTTAAAGGGATGTTATTTTGTTTGAGGGTATTTTTTTATTATTAATTTCATTATCATTATTTGTTGTATTTGTATCATTCAACATGATGATATTTTTAAATGATGAAACCAGTCTGAAGTGATTTTTTTGTTTGATGCCAACAGCAAGACTAACCTGGAATTCATGCATTGCAATTATTCTAATGGTTAACTTCCTGCAAGCTATAACAAACCCCAATATTACCTTTCCTGAAATCAACATCCTGTAACCTGATTTATTTTGGACATGTTTTTCTATTTCACTATTATATTAAAAACATATAACAATATATATTTTATTTTTTAAAATGTTTAACTGATGACCTATAGCCTTTATATTTTGTATTGGAACATAACAAAAACATATTTCATAAAACAGTTTTACATTTTCAAAGATATATGAGGCTTTATACTTTCTTTTAATTTTCTTTGAGATATGATTTGTTGAAATGATTGACAAAAGTGTATAATGTATATTTTTCTCACATAACTAAATATGCAACCCAAATTATTCTGGACAGTGATATTTAATAGGTTTTCTTTCCATACAGGTGCATTTGGAAATAATAGAAATGTTGAAATTGAAATGAAACCAGATGCAGTCAACATTTCTAACATCAGATTCAGTATTGGCATTTTTTTCATCCGTGAACCTTTGTTGGAAATGTGGATGATCCCAAAATAAAATGTCAAGTCCTCGCATCTTCACTCCAACCATCTGTTTTATTCTTCTTTTTACTCGCCATACTTAACTCACCACATCCAGGAGGATCCATATCATTTCAGAAAAAAATCGAGGTTTAAATAGAAAATCGTCCATTAGTTAGAAAAAATCGAGGTTTTATTTTTAGGCCAAATCGCCCAGCCCTAGTTCAGGTTGACAAATATTTACTGTTCGTAAACAAGGGAAAGGAAAAGGACACTTGAAAAAGGTCCCATGCTGAATGGAGAGAGTCATTGAGACCATATGAAAATAAAATGTATGAATCGTCAACATTTCTTGTTACTGACTAAACAATACATTTAAATTAAGATAATGTTCGTCTCCAACCAGCTATTTATTTTTCACGTTTTCTTTTGGTATCCTTTTCCAGGTGAAGATCCAGGGCCAGAACAAGGAGATGTTGGCCACCGCCTGCCAAATGTTTATGGGCAAGTCTGAGGCGGAGATTTCCACCATTGCACTAGAAACCCTGGAGGGACACCAGAGAGCCATCATCGCCCATCTGACTGTGGAGGTAGGTGCACTCGCTCCATCAAATGCATCTGCTTCACCATATCCGCCCATCAAAGCTTGTTCAGAGGCTTTCTGTTTATGACTCACTAAGTGAATGCTCATCTACAGCTATGAATCTCTCTCTGTGTGCAGGAGATCTACCAGGACCGCAAGAAGTTCTCCGAGCAGGTCTTCAAGGTGGCCTCCTCTGACCTGGTCAACATGGGGATTGGAGTCGTCAGCTACACGCTCAAAGACGTTCACGACGATCAGGTACGTCTGGGGTTCATTTTCTGCTAATGACAAAAATCTGATGATTAAAACACAAATTAATGGAGCAGAAGAAATCTGAATCCTCGCTGTGAGACAAGCTTTTAGTCTCTCAGACACCCAGCTGCTCTACATTAGCAAATGACGTCTAAGTGCTTCTGTGGTTACCATGCCATCTTGTGTTTTTAATGTCTTCCCTTCCTTTTGACTCCCTCTCTGTCTCCCTCTGTCTCTTTCCTTCTCTCAGGACTACCTTCACTCTCTGGGTAAAGCCAGGACAGCGCAGGTTCAGAAGGATGCCAGGATCGGAGAGGCTCAGTACAAACGAGATTCTGTCATGAGGGTAAAGTCACCTCTGCCTATGTGCTCATATTCATAATATAAAGAAAACACATACCACAATTCCTCATATTCTGTCGTGCTGCATTCTCTCCACAGGAGGCCCACGCCATGCAGGAGAAGGTCTCCGCTCAGTACAAGAACGAGATTGAGATGGCGAAAGCCCAGAGAGACTACGAGCTAAAAAAGGCAGCCTACGATGTGGAGGTCAACACCAAGAAGGCCGAGTCAGAGATGGCCTATCAGCTCCAGGTACAGTTACTGCTCTGATCTCAAGCTAACTTCGTTTTTATACTGGTGACAGTTTGTCTGGTCAGCTGTCCACACGTTATTAAGCTGGCTGGTTGAGTTAAAAAAGGAACAATCCAGATTGGAGGTAATAGAGAGGCGCCTCTCTATAGGCAAGGCAATTTGATTTATATAGCACTTTTCAGCACGTGGCGATTCAAAGTGCTTTACAAAATAAAACCAAAAGACATTTAAGAACAAATACAGCATAAATACATTATTAAATGGCATTTAAAAATAGGTAAGATAATGAAAATAAATAAATAGACACAGCAGGTACAGAATACATGACTAAAAGGCATACTGTAGTGTGAGTATGGGCAGCTCAATTAAAAGCAGCGGCAAATAGATGCGTTTTTAGTCTGGATTTGAAAATAGGAATTGTTTCAGCGGATGGGCACGAGTTGGGCAGTTTGTTCCAGATTGTTGGGGCATAATAAAATCAATTCTTTGGTCGACTGGAAGCCAGTGTAATGATCTCAGAACCGGAGTGAAGTGATCCACTTTTCTAGTGTCAGTGAGGACTCGAGCAGCGGCGTTCTGATAGATGTTTTAGTGAGCCCTGTGAAGACACTATTGCAGTAGTCGAGTCTTCTGAAAATAAAAGCATGGACAAGTTTTTCTAAATCCTGTTGCGACATTAGTTGGGGGTAATACCGTATTACTTTTCAGTGCTTCAAGGCTGAGTGGAATTTAATGTTTCATATACCTCTCTGTTCAGGTGGCCAAGACCAAGCAGCGCATTGAGGAGGAGACGATGCAGATTCAGGTGGTGGAGAGGACGCAGCAAATCACTCTGCAGGAGCAGGAGATCACCCGCAAGGAGAAGGAGCTGGAGGCCAAGGTGAAGAAGCCCGCAGAAGCAGAGAAATACCGACTGGAGAGGCTGGCCGAGGCAAACCGGTGAGTGACGCAGTGCTGTCTGGTGTAGATCTGATGAGAGCTAAACATCTATGAAGTTATCTGCATCCAGCACCTGAACAGGCTCAGTGGCGGCTCAATTCCCAGTTCAGTTTGAGTCGCATTACATTACATTGCATTTAGCTGACGCTTTTATCCAAAGCGACTTACAATAAGTACATTCGACCAAGAAGACACAACCTTGAAGAAAACAGAATCATATAAGTGCATCAGGTTTCATAGAGCCAAACATTTCAAGTGCTACTCAACTGGCTTTAGGTAAGCCAGTCCTTTATTAGTATAAAAGTGCTTCGTTAATAGTTCTAACGCTCGAAGTGGAGTCGAAAGAGATGAGTTTTCAGTTTGCGCCGGAAGGTGTGTAAGCTATCTGCCGTCCTGATGTCAATGGGGAGCTCATTCCACCATCTTGGAGCCAGGACAGCAAACACACATGTTTTCGCCGATGGGAACTTGGGTCCCCTTCGCAGCGAGGGCGCAACGAGTCGTTTGGCTGATGCAGAGCGTAGTGCACGCGCTGGGGTGTACGGTTTAACCATGTCCTGGATGTAGGAAGGGCCAGATCCATTCGCAGCATGGTAAGCAAGTACCAGTGTCTTGAAGTGGATTCTAGCAGTTACCGGAAGCCAGTGAAGGGAGCGGAGGAGCGGAGTGGTGTGGGAGAATTTAGGAAGGTTGAAGACCAGACGAGCCGCTGCATTCTGGGTCGCAGAGAGGCTAAGCTATAAGCTGCGACACGCTTCCAATGAGAAAGTCCATACTGAAGGAAGATAGGTTGAAGATATTTAATAAACCAAATCAAAAAGAGTAGGGGACAAAAACAGCCACCAGAAAACATTTCAGCACAAGCTCACCCTCTGTAATCCGCCCCCCGACATGAAACAGGTGACCGAAACACATAAACCACGACCATGTGGCGATTGCCGGAAGTGCTCAACAAATACAAATAAAAGTGTCGTAAATAAATAATAATAATACACACAATGAACTCAGTAGGCTAAGTAGCATGTTGGCTCCTACAGGACCACTAAGGTGAACAAATAAATATCACACTAACACAATCTGTAATCTCTCCTCTCTCCAGTCTGCAGCTCATCATGGAGGCTGAGGCCGAGGCAGAGTCCATCAAAGTGAGTCCTGCTGCATGTTTCCTCCTCCCTTCCTGTCTGCCCACTCTATCACATTACCTCAACATTATGACTTCCAGATCATGTACTCTAAACTAATACTGTGATCTTGACTCTTTGTTTGTGTGTGTTTTTAGAATATAATATAATCTTTATTGTCATCATACAAAGAACAACGACATTTATTTTGCAACCCTCACTGCAGTAAAACACAGACACAAATAAAGAAATAAGAGTGGTAAAAGCAGAGGTCATAGCGATGACAGTGCAACGAGATAAAATGCTCAATGTGCATATTTACACTTGCAGTTTAAAAACCTTAAATGTACAAAACGGTATAGATGTAGTGTATTTCTAACTGTGTGTTCATTTGTTTTCAGATGAAGGGAGAGGCCGAGGCTTTCGCCGTGGAAGCTAAGGGCCGCGCCGAGGCCGAGCAGATGACCAAGAAAGCAGAGGCCTTCCAGCAGTACAAAGACGGAGCCATGGTGGACATGCTGCTGGAGAAACTGCCCCTGGTCAGTCTGAGTGCACTCACAAGGATGGAGCTGTGGGAGAGAATCAGAAAACCTTTATCAGTCCCACAGAGGGGACATTAATGGCGCATTTCCACTGCAGCGGGTAGCCCCGTTTAAGCGTCCTTAATCGTCCTCAAGCGGCCAGGCCAGTCTTTGGTGGCCTTTCCATATAGCGTAGCACCGGCTAGCGGGTACTTTTTCCCTCCCCATAAAATCGTGGTTCTATCAGGCCAGGGCCAGGGCTGAACTAGTGACGTCAACACTCTCAACTGCTGATTGGTCAGAGAGAATCGTCACAAGATCGCGCGCGAGATCATCCCTAGCGTCGCATATATATCTAGAAGCAAGCTTGCAGCATTTTTATACACAGCATTTTTTGACGTTCCTACATCTCATTGGGGATGATAAAATCCAGCGGGAGCTCGACGGAACAACTCGAAATGTGAAAGTGTTCCAGGATGTCTCTGCACGGATGCCCCGCCTACACTGCGTTGCTACCCCAGGTCCTAAACTGTAATGGAAATGCGCCACGGCCGAGGCCGAGGCCTGAGCGAGGACGCTTAAACGGGGCTACCTGTTGCTATCCGCTGCAGTGGAAATGTGCCATTACATCGTTACGGCAGAAAAGAGCCAAAGACATCTTAATGTTACCTAAGCATGCATACAACAAGTATTAAAGATAACAAAAGGACATTATAATTTAGAAAAAAGTTACACATTTTACAAAATACACATCCATCACAGCACGGGAGTCAGGATTAAAGGTGGGGAATGTAATTCACTTCAGAAACACTTTTTGTTATATTCCATGGAATGCTCTTAACATCCCGATAGCAATGAATACATTAAATGCTTTGACAATAAATACATAAAAAGGTCATCTGTGGAAGCCGTGGCGCTGTAAAAAGCACGACCAATCATCTGAGCCGGCCCGGCTAAAGTAACTGGATGGCCTACCTGCCTGTCAGCCTTCCATCTGTGCACAAACTTATCTCGTGCCCTCATTGGTCATGTGCGCGTTCGTGTGTTGGAGGAGGGGCTCTGTGAGGAAGTCTGAAGGAAGGGGCAGATTTTTTTCAGGCTGCGTACTTTCAAATTCTAGCGCACTCGAGCTGGTTTCTCCATTCTTACCTACCCCACCTTTAAAGGCCCTAGTTTGAGTTTATTTTTTAATTAGTTGTAGCTGATAAATCCACACTCATTTGTTTTAAATTATTATTTCATAATTTAGCAACCCTTTAAGCATTTTAGAATTTCAAACAGACAAAGTAACATTTGTTTTCACAAATTACTTATTGCAATGAAGTTTTGTGGCTCTTAATATTACAAAGCTTTGTCAGTTCAAGAAAAGGTTCATGTCTGCCATCATTCCTGATTTCTGTAGTTTGCAGACTTTTTTATACATAAAGTTAAAAATATTCTAATCCTAGACTCTAATCAATCCAGCAACATATATTATTCTGAATTGAGTATCATTTCTTCATATGGGCTCTTGCTAAATCTAGACTGTCAACCGGCAGGGGCTCAGTCAGTAGGGGCTTGGACTGGGAGCTGTAGGGTCGCCGGTTCAAGTCCCCGAACAGACCTAAATATGGAGAGTGGACTGCTACTTGGAGAGGTCCCAGTTCACCTCCTGCCCTGCCGTGGTGCCCTTGAGCAAGGCACCGGAGGATGGGTTAAAAGCAGAGAACAAATGTCACTGTGCTGTGTGCTCTGCATGTGTGACCATTACAGAGGGTTTCATCCCTCCCTATCTTTTCATCCCCCCTTCTCAGCATTAATTCTCCTTTTCCTTCTTGTCCTGCAGATTGCAGAGGCCATCAGTAAGCCCCTGTCGGAGGCTCAGAAGATCACGATGGTGTCCAGCGGTAACGGAGAGGTGGGAGCGGCCAAACTGACCGGAGAGGTTCTGGATATCATGACCAGGTTGCCGCTAGCCGTGGAGAAACTCACCGGAGTCCGCATCTCTCAGGTGAACTGGAGCTCATCTTGTGAGAGTCAGAAGTGGGAATCACCAGGCTCCCCACGATACGATACTATCGCGATACTTAAGCCACGATAAGATAGTATTGCGATTCTACGATTTGCTAAGTATTGCGATACGATATATTGCGATTGTGTTATCCCTTCCTGGTTAAAAAATCCAAAAATATTTCCACACCTTTGATTTAAACGCGACCGGCGCATTTCTGATTTCTTTCTCCGCTGACTCCATCTTTGTTTTGACTAACTTCCTGCCTAGCCCATGGATGTATAATAAGAACTGGATACAGCGTGGGAGGCGGGGTCTCGTTATTTCCTATGAGAGTTGCTCATTGGAGCATGAAGACAAAATGGCCCAACTTTTGAGAGAGTGAAACGTCACGAAAGTATTCATATAATCCGTTGTTATTGTGCATCCATGGGTAAAGGTCAAACTCATGTAGTACTGAACACGTCACATGAACGTGCTGGGCGGCGCGGTCCCGTGGGTTAGATGCGCGTTCATAATGCCGAGGAAGAATAACGTTATTCGCAGGGGTGCACATAACTTTTTTGCCCTGGTTCTCAAAGGAGCACCTGGAGATGTTGCTTGGTGCTCATCCTTAAAATGAAATAAACCGTAACCTTTGAGGGGGTCTTGACTTTATTTGCCAGACACACGGCACTGAACACACATGCAGAGGTGAACACAGAACACACATGCAGAGGTGAACACAGAACACACATGCAGAGGTGAACACAGAACACACATGCAGAGGTGAACACAGAACACACATGCAGAGGTGAACACAGAACACACATGCAGAGGTGAACACAGAACACACATGCAGAGGTGAACACAGAACACACATGCAGAGGTGAACACAAGACACACATGCAGAGGTGAACACAAGACAACATTAGCACGACCAGTAATCCTACAAGCTGTCATCACTACCCTCCTGACTGTTCTCCTCACTGTCTTCCTCTCTGTCAGACATGGTAGCTGATGATATAGGCCTACTTCTTTCTCTCTGGTTGAGTCTGTGATTAGCTGCTTGCATCCACAAGTCAACAGCTGGGTTTGGGTCGAAAGTCTCTGTTGTCATCTTAGACAAGTGGATGTAATCAAATAAGTATGTGAACATAACCAATAACCTACCATAGCCAATAACAAATTAATGTAACTTATTTTATTTGTGTTGTTCATTCATATCTTATTTACCTTAACATTTATTTAGTTATGCATTTTTTTTTTATCTCTCCAGTTTTAAAGGATATTTTTGGTTACTGTTCTATAGTATACATTGGAATGATTTAAAACCTGTTTATCCCAATAATTACAAAGGAGTGCCTTGGAAATATGTGTTTACATAAATTGTGACCAAACCGTTTGAATTTAGACTAAAGTGAACTATCTAAACACTCAGAGTCCTTTACCTCACTGAGCTGTAGTTATCAGCCTCTCAGTCTGACTGGAGAGGACTCTCCCTCCACATTATTGTAGAAACATCTTCTTCTTATCTCCATTAGAGCAGCTAGCACGGCACCAGATTATAATAACAACAGCGCTGGTACCACCCTCCCTCTCTCCCTCGCTCACTCGCACTTTGGCTGTGAGCTGCGGGCGCCAGATAAGCCAACATCCCCCATTTTCATCACTTACAGCGCCCATCGTACAGGGCAAATGAAACGTGTAACCGGGGTGAAAAGGGTGTTACATTTACTTAATTGTGAATATTGTTACATCAAGGCCGAAAATTAGGATGAGCCCCAACGGTCAAATGTTTTTTTCCCTCCCAGAGCTGCCAGCGCAGCGCCTCCACAGATCTGGCGCCCTAGGCGAACATCTAGCCAGTGCTACGGGCCGGCCCTGAGTTCATATCATGGTTCATATGCAACTCGCAAATATCTTTCTCTCTCCTCTATTTTCTCTTCTCTCTCTCTCAATGTTGGTACGCAAATGCGCTTTGTTTCAAATGACCCGGTGCTCTTTTTTTGGCGGAGGTGCGCATGCGCACCTGCGCACCAGTTATGTGCAGCCCTGGTTATTAGCACATTTTACAACTTGAGGACCGAATGTTTTTAATAAGGGCTATACAAACGTTCATACTGGGTAGTTTATTTAGTTTTAAAAAAATTATCCAACGATTTACAGACGTCTCTTTCCCAATGTTAGTCAATGGGAAAAAGTCTTTCCGGGCCCAGCGACTGATACGGAAGTGTAGTACCGCCGTTTGGCCACAACGAATATTTTCCTCAGAGTCCGGCGCACTTCCTGGAGGCTTGGCCTATCCCACTGACTTTACCCATGACCGCACAAGAGAAAGCTCAACACCATCTAGTGGATTGACAAAGCAATTTGGATTTGCAATATGAATAGTTTGTATAATAAAATATCGCCACGCCATTTCCCCCACCCCTAGTAATTATCTCCGTTTCTCTCTTTGATTTGCAGGTTGGATCAGCTGTGTATTAAGAAGAGAAGGAATGGGAGTAATCAGAAGAGATGTCATCAAATATCCAGACTAGGAGCTCCACGTCTCCTCCTCGTGCCTATAACCACTGTACCGGCTCTGCAGCGCTGTCGTCTCGTTCCATCGTCTGTGTGTGTGCATGTTTCACTTCTGTGTCCTGTTTCCAGTTCCTCTTCCATCCAAACAGGATCTTTTTAATGTGATTGTTCTTTCCATGACCCTGGTCTGAGCTGCTTTCTGCTGTGGGTGACGGCAAAAGCAGTTGCAAGGGGATGCGATTTAAAAAAAAAGTTTTAATTTTTTACCTGGAGAGAAAAGCCTCCCAGTTGGAATTCCTATCTGTGTTGTTTTATACTTGGCCATGCAAGTTTTTATTTTTAATCCAAACGGCAACTAGCCGAATTATATATAGGTCAATCGTTTTTTAATATAGAAGATATTTATGGCTGTAGCTTGTTTGTGCCTTTCAATTAAGTAAATGGTGCCGAGCTCTTTATCACCTCATAGTTGAGTGTTTGGGTATATTGTTGCGGTGGTTAGAAATAATTGACCCATCACTCATCCGCGCTTTGTCCGCTAAAGAGACAAAGTTGTCGATAGTTTACTACACGTCTCTTCATCGTGCTCAAAATCATATCAGTGGAATAATGTTCTTGTGTTTCAGAATGAAGGGGAAGGAAGTGGTTGATGGTAACGAGCTAAAGGGGTTTCCCGGAAAGTATGTTGTGGTGGGAAAACATTGTGTGCTGCAGTGTGTTCTGGAGAGAGCTCATCACTAACGGCCTGTTGCTTTATGTGCGTGCTGCCTAGAGTTTGAGCTGTTGAGTATGTTGATTTTGAGTAGTGATTTTCCATTGCAAAGCGATGCTGTGTAGGATAGATCTTGACAAACTTTGGCTCTTGCATGTTGAAAGGTGTTTGTTAGCGCCGCTGATCTGGAGCTTCGTCTCTTAACAGTCCATTTTTATTTCCAGCTGCCATGCCATATGCATTTTGTTACCGCCAAGTGCCTGTTCCTAACTCAACAGTCTTAACTTTATTAAGTTAAATTCCACTTCTCTGTCAGGGAATCTTTTCTCACATCGATCTGATCCCAAGCCATTGGCCGCCACTAGCGAGGGCTGCAGATTAAAGCCAAATCAGACTCTACTTCTATTGTATGTTCTTGTGACTAATCTTCTACTTTCCTAACTTGTTGATGCATGTCTCTACTTTATGTTGACACAAGTAGTTACTATATAGCTTTGAAGTTGTATACAAGTTAAATATTTGAGATTTATCTGTAGTGAAATGTTTAAAGTTTATGTAGACAATAAAGTATGGTTTAATCACTGAAGCCTTTTGCCGCTTGTTTCATTTAACATTACATTTAGCTGACGCTTTTCTCCAAAGCGACTTACAATAAGTGCATTCGACCAAGAAGATACAAACTTGAAGAAAACAGAATCATATAAGTACAGGTTTCATAGATCCGAAACATTTCAAGTGCTACTCAACTGGCTTTAGATAAGCCAGCCCTTTGTTGGTTATTAGATCGCTCGAAGTGGAGTCGAAAGAGATGAGTTTTCAGTCTGCGCCGGAAGGTGTGTAAGCTTTCTGCTGTCCTGATGTCCATGGGGAGCTCATTCCACCATCTTGGAGCCAGGATAGCAAACCCACGTGTTTTTGCTGATGGGAACTTGGGAGATTTAACATCAAAGTACTTCATTAAATCTAATTTATGAACGGAGCAGACTAGACGGCATTAACATGTAACACTCACGCTTCTATTGGCTAGTGCTCCAACATGTGATCGGCTAAGGGGCGGGAAATCTCTATAAGCGGTTGACCAATCACAACAGAGCCGGCCAGCTAACCAATTAGAGCAGACTGGGCTCTGGTTTCAGACAGAGGGTGAAAGAGGTGCTGCAGCATGAGAACATTAAAGCATGGTCCCAGTAGAGACACATAATAGGGCCCCTTTAACCAAACTGAAATAAAAACTTGAGTCACATCTGTAAAGCATATGTTCATTTATTTGAAAAGGTTAACTTTATTAAAACATCTACAAAAATAGACAACGATTAATTACAATAGCATCAAGTAGCAAGCGTTCTACAGAGATACAGAAGACCCCAAATGTAACAAAGAGTTTTCCATATATTAGTAAAGGAAATTACAATTCTGTCCTTAAAATATGTACATACTATTATGCTCAACCTCGAAAGACACAAAAAGGACAAAATCAGACATCAAGGAGTGTCCAAGTACATACAGTATATATAAAAATATTGGTTTAGTTGAACTACAGTGTATCAAAAATCACTCAAATGGCACAAGCATTCACGATCAGTAAACATGTTTTACTTGATCATCTCAGGACTGATTTACAGTGCTTAACAATCAGTAAGGTAGATGGCATTGATTCTACTGCGGTCAGCTTAAGGTACTAATGCGGAGATTGATGCTGACATTCACACTGAAAAAAAGAAAATCAGGTTTCCTATAATTCCCTGTGTGAGTACAGTAATGCATTTGGATGAGCAAAGATTGATTATTGGAGGAGTAAAAAACGTCAACGCGCCGTACAAAAGGCTTTCATACATTTGAAATGAGATGAATCGATGGTGCCATTCCATTTTTTAAATAATATTTTACATCTCATGGTTTGGCAATGCCTTGTGGAGGGGGAGGGGGAGGGGGAGGGGGGATTTAACAAGGCAGACTGTGGCCGTTTCTCAATCGCGAGGATGCTTGCTTGGTAGCACATGTCTTCCGAGTCACTTCCTTCAGAAGCTAGGCAAGAATCCTTCCTGGCATTCGGAAAACGAAGAGTGGAACAGGCTAACAAGTGTGCAGTCATATGAGAGGCCCCGCCTTACATTTTCCGCCACAGATTTGGGGAAATTGGTCCGTGCGCAAAGCATTGTGGGGATTTGAAGGACGCGAGGTCTACCCATGTGCAGCCTCGAAATTACCCCCAAACCAAGGACGCGGCCTCGGTGGAATTCCAAGTATGCTGGAGATTGGAACAGTCCTTCGGCGGCACTCGATGACGTAGTATCCTTGAAATATTGGCTTGGAAGCCAGTTTCCTCGCGATTGAGAAACGGCCAGAGTGTCCTGAATGTTAATCTCCCTTAGGGAAATCACTGCAGGTGAAATGCATTAGAATCCACATCGACAGGAATCATATCGGGCCACTCATAGAAAAGAGTTTCATCACGGCCTCTGATATGCATGTGGGATTTAAAGTGCAGCTGGTTGTGGAATTTTACATGTATCCTTTGTGTCTGGGTCGCAGCCACAAATATTGCCGAAAACACCTGAGCAGGAGGATCAGGAGATGTCCCTTCGACAGTATCGTCTCTCTGCTCGGAAAAAAAGACGTCCAAGTTTTTCGGCAGCAACAGACCCTCCTCTTCTGTGCCTTCGTCCTCAAGTCCATTTGGCTCCAGGGTAACAGTCCTGTTGCCCAGATTGGGTTTTTAAAGTTTTTTACGGAAAAAATCAGGGGAGAAAACTTGACTTTATCACATTTTAGAAAGGGGGCTGCTGGTGTCTGGTCCACATCATTTCATATAAGTCCAGAGAAACTTTGAGTCACAAGGGTCAACAAACATGGTGTTCACTTTTCAACGTCTTTTAGTGGGTTGTCTCAGATGGGCAAAAGGGGCTGAAGCCTTGATATATTTCTGATTTAGACTAAAATGTGTAAAGTATACCATACATACTAAGACAAATCCTGTGTCTTCACTTTCATGTCCCAACAATAGGTGTGTGTTGTGTGCACCTTTACCTGTCACCCTGCATGTAGAATATGAGATAAAATAAAAGTCATGAAACTTAATTCATGTTAATGTCCTAGCTTGCTATGGTTGTAGTATTACGAGTCATTTAGCGCCTACAGCTTCCTGTATTATTAACTCTACAGCACTTAATCACCAGGCACACACACCCTGCTTTATACTAAAGTATCTGAGAAGAGAGAAAGTTCCTATGCAGACTGCACCCACCACCAGTGAAATGTAGCGCGGACCGTTACCAATCCAAAGCTTGGTTAGTTTTGCATTTGGGGTTGGGGGTCTGATGTGGAAATAAACCGAACCAGCGGCGTCTCAGCCCCATCCACCCAAAAAAGTACAAATATAAAAGCGAGCAACCCACTCTCCCTCTCATCTGCCTCCACCACACCTCCCACTGCAGCCTGTTCTCTCTCTACACCATGTTCATGGCGTCCTCTGTGAGAAAGGAGTGGATGTCTGTGAAGGACGGACGGAGTTTGCAGTCTCTGTTCCAGCAGCTCAACATGAGCTCGTAGAGACCCTGAGGACACACAGCCGGCCTGCTCAGATACACCTGCAGGAGAGGGGGGGGGGGAGGTGTGTGAATGTTGGGACTTTTTGATGACTGAGACCTTAGTTTATTTACATGTATATTTAAAAAAAAGCATAAATCTATCAGATTCAGAAATATAAGTGAATTAAACATCTATTCTTGTCAGTGGGCCATTTTGGTGCAGCATTAAACAAAATAAAAAAATCTTACATACGACAGCAATATGCACTCCATCAAGTAACAAGAAAAACACATGCTAGAAAGACACTATCAAATCAAATGATGGCGAACCTCAAGTTTGAAAAAGGCAAATATTGAAGAAGTAAAATGGCATTAATGTTTATTTTATTAGCTTTTCTTTTTAATGACTGATTTTAAATGCCATTTTCTTAATCTCTTTCATTTTTTGTAAAGCACTTTGAATTGCCTTGTGTTGAAAAGTGCTATATAAATAAACTTGCCTTGCCTTGCCTTGAACAAAGTGCAACAATAAAAGATGGACCATACATTTTCCTTGTCTCTTAAATTGGTTTTAAGAATAGAGGCAATAACTATGTGTTACTGTAACTATTCTCAAACTGATAAATATGAAGTGTGGCACACAGACCAGCCACTAGAGGGCCTTAGTGATTACATAAGTAAATAGACTTTGTTTATGAAAATTGAAGGAGCCTCAGAAGGCACTCGTTTGTGGTTTTAACTGTATAAACACGTGATGACCTACAGTATTCTAAAAAGGCGTGAGTACCTGTCTGCCCTGGTCTCTGAAGAACTCCCCGGCGTTGTCGATCACTTGTTCGTCGGTCAGGTTGGAGTACGGCTGCTCCTGACAAACGCTCAGCATCTCCCACAGCGTCACGCCGAACGCCCACACATCGCTGGCCGTGGTGAATTTACCCTGAGGACATAAAACCAAATCAACATCTCCATCCGTATCAAAATATTATCATAGACATTGTTGGATAGGGAGGACATGCTTTCTTTTAGTACAAGTACATTATTGGATTTCATGCGTCAGTGTACTCAAATGTTTTTTGTCCTGCTACACGAAGACACGGACTACTATAGTTTACAGTAAACAAGTTGTTGCATGTCAACATCAGAAGATATTTCCAGCAACAACAACCTGCATAAACAACATTTAAAATAAATACGCATGATTCAAAGTTCATGTGAGCTGATGATTGTTCAACAGAGGACATCTTATACATGTATAGTATATAAATGTTGATATAAATAATTTATATTAAGTAGTTTGTAATAGAAATAGTGTTTTAAAATGTTTAACGGATGGATTTTGTTTTTATTTAGGTATTTTTTATCCAAATTTTCTTTATAATTTAAACTGGATTCAAATATTGATAAAATCCATGTAAATAAATATATAACAATAACCTGCATTAACAACACCTAAAGAAATATCAATGTATAACCATGATACAAACTAAACATATCTTCATTTTAATATAAAATATATGAAGTGGTTTGTAATGAAAATGTTGTTTAATGTTCCCATGGATTTTGGTATGTACATATTTTTTAATCCAAATTCTAATAATTTTCCTTAGATTATTTATTGATGTAAAACAATCACACACACACACACACACACACACACACACACACACACACACACACACACACACACACACACACACCACACACACACACACAACACACACACACACACACACACACACACACACACACACACACACACACACACACACACACACACACACACACACACACACACACACACACACACACACACACACACACACACACACACACACACACACCACACACACACACACACACACACACACACACACACACACCTCTCTCACCATGAGTATACACTCCCAGGCCATCCAGCGTATGGGCAGCACGGCGCGGCCCTGGATCCTATAGTAGTCTCCAGCGTAAAGGTTTCCTGCTCATCCCAAAGTCAGCGATCTTGATGTGGCGCTCTCCCCCCGATCATCCCCGCTCTCACCCTTCTCCCCCCCGACCAGAGAGTTTCTCGTGGCCAGATCTCGGTGCACGAAGTTCAGCGAGGCGAGGAACTTCATACCTGACGCTATCTGGCTCGCCATGGCGATGAGGGCTGGGTAACTGAGGGGGATAGAGTGGATAGATTTAGGGAATCATTTAACAATAAAAAATATATGACTGTTTAAGAATATGTACGAATCAAGGAAGGGTATGTTGTCAATATATCACAAGGAAATTGGATAAAGTGTCCCCTTACAAAGGAAAAATGCATAGACATAGTAAAGGAAACTACATAATGGAAAGAAACGGACATATTTGATGATAATTTAAGCGGCACAAATAGAAGAAAGGTGGGAGCAAGAGACAGTTATTCATGAACAAAAGCGATAAACACTAATGAAAAAAGACAACTGATTCAGTGGAAAGATACTAGAAGTGTAACTCCCAACATAAACCTTTTGTTTTTCGGTTCTGTATCATTTTGATTTATGTTTGTAGTTCGTTCATGGATTCAAGGATCATTTATCGCCAGACTGCAATAACAGTAGTAGAAGTATTCTGAATTTGCAACAGGTTGTAAACATCAGGGAAAAACATTGTCCATCAACTTTGTGACCACGCATCGTTGATGAAAAACAAAAACTGTATTTTAGTCGGTGGGGTATTTGTTGTTATTGTTGAAAACATCATAAGTCTAGTTAAAAAACAAACGTATATGACTGTGTTCACTTATAACCGTGTGTTAGAGCCAGTATTTTGTTTTTATAAGAAAGGCCACCTAATTGTGACGTCTGTAGTCAACACACTATAAAAGACTACAATTCCCACGACCCCTGCTCTAAAGTGACAGTGATGGGCGACCTGCTAGAGAGACGCCGTCGAGGAACAGTTTTTAACCGTCCAGTTATCCTTTAAGTTATGACGCTATATAAGCCTAATCAACACAGAAAGAATACCTACGTTGTTTGTTATTTGTTTCGACTATTGTAAAGACCTCTTTTCTTTGTTACATGTGTAAAAGTTTGTTATTTTATTTTGAGCAAACACATCGCATAACATCTAAACTATCGAAGGCCAAGCAACTCTTCAACTGTAAGTAATATAAAGGACAGATGTCTGTTTAAGGCGTCTAGTGGGTTGAAAGAAAAACAAGGAAGGAAGCCACAACACTGTTTGAGCGTGTGCATATTTGTGGCGTACCTGATGGTGGGTGTGTTGTGTGTAGGCCCTGTTTTGTCCAGAAGCACCCGGTGGGACAGATACTGGTTGAGGTCTCCACACTCCATGTACTCAGTGACCATACAGAGCGGGTCGCTGCTCACACACACTCCCAGCAGGCGGATGATGTTCGGGTCCTTCAGGCGAGACAAGATCTTCACCTCTTTCAGGAAGTCGTTCCTACCAGGAGAGAAACACTGTTATCTCACAGACAGGATGAGAAGTGACTTAAAGGTCCCCTGTTATACTGTTTTTCATCCATATATTATAGCTCTCAGATACAAAACATGTCTCTGAAGTGTTTGGCTCCAAACACCAAACAGATCATTGCAGCATTACCCATAATCCCCTCTGTTTCAGCCCTGTTTCCAAAGTGCTGATTCTCTATCTGTTACTTTAGATGAAAATAAGGAGCCCCTCCCCACGCCCCTCTGAGAGAGATTTGGTTACAAAGAACTCAATGGTGCTCTAGGAGGAGATTCAGGTGATAAGGGGGGGGGTTACCTTGGTTGGTGATTGGCTGATGGTTACACAAGACAACACATCGTTATGACATCATAAAGTGGCCAAAATCTGATCAGCTCATTTTCAGACAGGTTTTTATAGAAATGGATCAGGACAAAAAGAGAGAGAATCTTTGTTCCTGAAACTTTCATTGTCTCTTTCCACAGAGGGGACACATGTTGATGTAGAAGAGACATGAAGAAGAGGGGACACATGTTGATGTAGAAGAGACATGAAGAAGAGGGGACACATGATGATGTAGAAGAGACATGAAGAAGAGGGGACACATGTTGATGTAGAAGAGACATGGAGAAGAGGGGACACATGTTGATGTAGAAGAGACATGAAGAAGAGGGGACACATGTTGATGTAGAAGAGACATGAAGAAGAGGGGACACATGTTGATGTAGAAGAGACATGAAGAAGAGGGGACACATGTTGATGTAGAAGAGACATGAAGAAGAGAGGACACATGTTGATGTTGAAGAGACATGAAGAAGAGGGGACACATGTTGATGTAGAAGAGACATGAAGAAGAGGGGACACATGTTGATGTAGAGGAGACATGAAGAAGAGGGGACACATGTTGATGTAGAAGAGACATGAAGAAGAGGGGACACATGTTGATGTAGAAGAGACATGAAGAAGAGGGGACACATGTTGATGTAGAGGAGACATGAAGAAGAGGGGACACATGTTGATGTTGAAGAGACATGAAGAAGAGGGGACACATGTTGATGTAGAAGAGACATGAAGAAGAGGGGACACATGTTGATGTAGAAGAGACATGAAGAAGAGGGGACACATGTTGATGTAGAGGAGACATGAAGAAGAGGGGACACATGTTGATGTAGAGGAGACATGAAGAAGAGGGGACACATGTTGATGTAGAGGAGACATGAAGTAGAGGGGACACATGTTGATGTAGAAGAGACATGAAGAAGAAGGGACACATGTTGATGTAGAAGAGACATGAAGAAGAGGGGACACATGTTGATGTAGAAGAGACATGAAGAAGAGAGGACACATGTTGATGTTGAAGAGACATGAAGAAGAGGGGACACATGTTGATGTAGAAGAGACATGAAGAAGAGGGGACACATGTTGATGTAGAAGAGACATGAAGAAGTGGATTTAGCATAATAGGGAACTTTTAAGACATAATGAAATACTGAAATCTCTTGAATAAACATCCCGCCAGCAGCTCTCGGTGGCGTTAGGCTTCAACGATATGTTTTGCTGGTCAATATGTTTGTGTAGCTCTGACTATCACTAAACTCGCACACAGTATGAACCTGTTGACAGAGAGTCTTAGCACATAAGCTCACATGAAATAAGGGCTTTATCTTCACATCCCATAAAAGGGCAGAGAGCCAAAGTAAACAAGCAGCAGGTGAAAAGAGTCAAACATCCAAAAAAAGGCCCTGATAAAGTGATAATAATCTCTTCCCTGCTACTGCTGAACATGTCAGTAATGTCACGTAGAAGACTGGGTGCTCCGAACACATGAAAGGAGGGAAGAGGAGAGAAGCTGTGTGAGGGGAATCTTTGTGAGCAGAACAACTGGAAACCAAAGAAGCTGCAGGAGATCGACTTGATGTCCTCCATTAAAATGAACCTTTAATAGAGGACACATTTTCTGCCGGAGTGTGACCTGAAGCCCACTGTGTTGTGTCATCTAACGTAAGGGGATGAAACCAAAAAGCTTGGGAAACAACAAGGATTTGGGATTAAAATATTGACAGAAACTCATAAGGGGGCATCACGCAACATGAAATAGGAAAAAAGTAGGTCGAACAAATAGTGGGATTATATGCAACAACAAGGTCATGTGTGTGTTCGGTTCTCGAGTGTATCAGACTGTCGATCTCATTATTTAAAATGTTGAAGCGGTACTATTAACTCCGTTTTTTGTGTTATTTTTTGGATTGTCATCTAATTTTAGTGTCCTTTCCTGTCCTTTGTATCCTTTGCTTGTACAATATTTTATTTTTCAAAGAACAAAAGACACTTAAGCAAACCACCTAAAATAATGAATACATTTTCTGTCAGAGTGACCTGAAGCTCACTATGTTGTCCCATCAAACTTAACGGTTAGAAACTCAAATCCTAGTATGTTTATGTGTAGCCAAATAGGGGTGAGATAAAGGTCCTTAATTCCCTATTGAGCTGTAAAAGCAGAAAGGAATATTTGTTACAAACCTGGCGTTCTTGGAGGCGTCGGGGCGCAGGATCTTCACGGCCACCAGCAGAGGGCGACCTTTCCTCACATTGAAGGGGAACTCCAGGGTGGGAAAGTCCTGAGGGTTCTCGATTTCACACAGGTGCACCTTTCATACAGAAGGACAGACATTGTTAATCTCTCCTCCACCCACCACAAGTTATTTCAGGTCATCCCTCTATGTTCTCGTCACCGGCTTGAGCTTCAATAATCAGGATCCATGTATTTATGATCCTCTCAAGAATGGAAGTAGTCATCACATACAGAGCATCAACTAGTTCCTGAACAGTGTCCTTCACATGCTGATATCCAAGAGAGGGAGTTACACAGTCACAAGATGGAGGAATAGAAAGCAGTCTTCAATGCTTAGTTCAGATTAGCTCCACGTCAGAAATGAGCATGCTTGTCATATGTCTATCTCCATAGAGGCTGAATCATCAGGTTAATCGCATAGCTATCATATGCCTCAAACAGTCCTGATGCTCTTCTAGGTAATCACACATCCTGTTACGCAGGGGCAGTTCTAGGGGGGGGGCCAACAGGGGTCAGTGCCCCCGTAACACTGACCAGAGACCCCCCTGTGGCCACCCTCCAAAAAAAAGGTTACAATAATTTATGATTGATTGGAACTAAATCAAATCAGAGACCCGGATGTACAGTGGAGATTAAACTGTTCATTACCTTATAAAAGCAAATACCGTTTAATGAAAACAAACGACTGAAACAAAGGACTGTAACTTAAATGTACTAAAACAAATACCTTTACAAAAACAAATACCAATTACTGCATTTTATATTTATTTTACACAATTACTTTATACTGTCTTTGTCTTTTTAACGCGCTTTTATTGTGCCCCCCTCATGAAATGACTGGCCCTAGCCTGGCCCTAGCCTGGCCCTAGCCTGGCCCTAGCCTGGCCCTAGCCTGGCCCTAGCCTGGCCCTAGCCTGGCCCTAGCCTGGCCCTAGCCTGGCCCTAGCCTGGCCCTAGCCTGGCCCTAGCCTGGCCCTAGCCTGGCCCTGGCCTGGCCCTAGCCTGGCCCTAGCCTGGCCCTAGCCTGGCCCTAGCCTGGCCCTAGCCTGGCCCTAGCCTGGCCCTAGCCTGGCCCTAGCCTGGCCCTAGCCTGATCCCCCCCCCCCCAGTAAAATTGGTCTAGAACCGCTAACTGTTACGTACACAGCTACAGTTGGGCCTTTGTTATCATGTGCTACTGATATTGGAAGAGTAGATTCAGTATTTTCCTGACACCCTACCTCTCCGAACTGTCCTTCTCCCAGCTTCTCCTTGAAGACGAGGAAGTGGCGGGGCAGCTCGGGCAGCGGGGCGCCATCGGCCCCCGGGCTGCAGGAGGTCAGCGCGGGCACGGCGTACGTGTTGTTGCCGCTGACGCCCTGCAGGCTCACGATGTCCGCCTCGGCGTAGTGAGGCACGCTGGGAGGCAGTGGGGGAGACACGGGGGGAGACAGGGAGGGGTAGGGAGGAGAGCCAGGGTAGGGAGGGGGCTCCTCTTGAGTCGGGGGGAAACCCTTCTCCATGTCCATGTCCGAACCACAGGCTGCAGGGAGGAGGGAGAGACAGACAGGGAGGAAATGCAGACATTAGAAGGACTGTGATTAAAAGCAGCTTTGTTTTGCTGCGAGACGGTCTGACCGAGAGAATCACATGCTATCAAATGTTCAGACGGCTTGTTATTAAGGGATAGTTTGGATTTTTGGAGGAGATTTCATTAAACAATAACAGAAGAAGGCATTGTATTTAAAAAAAACAATACTTCAAAAAGGTTCTGTGCCGAAAACTATATTATATGATTGAAATGGATAATAAAAAACAGCTAGGAGCTACAGAAATGGATAAAATAATCTCAAACAACCAAGACAAAAGTATCTGCCATCTTTTATCAATAACAAGAGTTTTTAACCACAAGAAATCTGCTCAATCTGCCTTGTCGTACCCATGTGACTGTTATCGCTGCCGCTTATTTCCTCGACATCGGTTGAATTATTTAACCGTTCTCCAAATCCACACACCTGAACATCTTGTGATGGATGAGTAGGACTTTTCTTTGAATACATCTTTCTGGGACATTGAATTGGTCCATCTATTGGACTTTCAAACTAAATTAGATCCTCTGCTGTACTTGCAGATCAAATTTGAAGTTTGAATCCAACAAAGGTTTAAAAAGTTACCATTAAAAAAGTTCACCTTGCACGAGGCCCTGAATGAAATAAGTCAGGGTCTTGTAGCGAGTGGGCTGAATACTAAGATGTGACTCCATTGCTAAAATGATAATGCAGACGATGATGAAAAACCAACTCAATGCTCAAACTGCCACGATCAGGAAGACTGAATTTGTATGTAGCTGCTGCGAAGTTTAAACACATATTGAACAAGATGTGTAAGTATGAGACCTTAACATGAACAGCGTGGACGATTAGAGACAATAACACAACAGGTGTATGGGGTCTTATATTTGCTGCACCTATTCTGCATTCATTTGGTGTCGGAAAAATAAGTAGAATTAGTTTTTGAATTCGGAAATTTCACGTGAATGACCGACAAAATTGAAAAAATAACTTGTAAACTTGCAAAAGTGATGCTACACGACTACCTAAGTTGACGTCATATTACACAAACGTTTGCTTAAGCTGCATTCACACAGCCTGCGTTAAAACATCTCTGTGCTGACGTTGTGTTTATTTTCAGTTGTATGTAGCGGCGCAAGCTATCAGTGAGGTAACAAGAGGAACAAAACATGACTAGCTTTTTCTACCACAACGCTCAACCTTCAACTATTTTGCCCACATGCGATTTCATAATTGTTTTTAGAGTGTAACTGAGAGGGAGTACTTCCTAGGGCCCCTGGAGAGCTTTGCTTTGATAAAGACATTTGCTGAGACACTGTAGTGAGACACAGCCTCTGCTCAGACCAACCCTGAAGTTCTCTCTATTTCCCCCAATACTTAACCGCTCATAAAAGAGCATAATTAACATGACACTACAAGATGCTTCAAGTCCCTGGCAGGGTCAAACTGTCCTGATTTTGTCTGAAGAAAGATAGTTTTATGCAAATGTCAAGACACACTTGTAGTTGAAGCACAAAGAAATGGCCGGCCTTATCATACCGGTATAAAACAGCTCTCCTAAGACTGTTTGCATGTCTAGGAAAGATGAGCGAGAGAAGAGGTCAAAGCTGAGATGACTAAAAGTAAAACTAAGCTCTATGAATAATTCCCCATCAGTAAACATTGTCGGTTGTGGCCTAGATTAGTAAGAAGCGATTCCCATTAGCATACACCCTCAGTAAGGTTAAGCATTATTTAAAAACAATATATTTTCTACCTGTCCAACAGCTTTGAGATAAGTCAGTCTGTGTTCAAATCGATGGACCAACGATTACACAAATGCCAAACTATCCCAACAAACAAAGTTGTTCTGAGTGGTTAGTGAACGAGAGGGACTAACTATGTGAGTAACAGGAGGAAGGTCAGACGCATGCAACAGATCGGAGAAGCATTTCTCTGTGCGGTGACAATGAGAGCAGATCTAAAAGCCCCCGCCCTGAACAGACCCGTAGAAAGGTGAGTAGGTGAGGAGGGGGAGACGCAGGGCCCCTCCTGACTGAGTTAGCCCAGTCTGAGGTCTCTTACCCTGGGGCACATTGAGGCTCTTTTCCTGAGCTGGCTGACTGGTGTTGGGGACAGGTGTGCAGCCTTTCCTGTGATCTGACAGGAGCAGGTGATAGGCTGGGTTGAGCAAACACATACACACAAACGGGACGAGGCGGGGCACACGCAGGAACCAAAATATGGACGGTACAATGATGCACATGACACACAAACACAATGACAACCATTAGCATGACACTGTTAGCATATCCATTACATTACAAGGGAAGGAGAGGAGGGGTTGCACTGACACACAGGACACATGAGCATAGCAAAAACAGGCAAAAGTTATCACAACTCAACAAAAACCAGCGGATGAAATAATGTGTGTGTTATTCCGAACTCACACAAGGCGCCTCGTAAATACGGCATGCAGACCTCCTGTGGTGCAAGCGAAAGAATGTCTTACTCTCTACTCCTCCCTTTCCTCTTCCCTTCGCTCGGAACAATAGCTCTTTTGTGCTCGCTTCTCGTTGTGCATCTTCTCGGAGGCACTCTTCCTCGCAGGGTGTTTGATTTACTTTTGTTTGGTGTGGTGAAATTCAATGTAATACCGCTGTGTTTTCTTTATATGCATGCCACATTTACCACCCTATACTTTAGGGTTTGCTTTTCGATACGATCCACAAAGGGAGGACGTGAATGCAGGAGCACAGAGCAGTCTGCACAAACCACATGTATGTTTGTAAAGTATTTTAATTCTGTACATATGGGAAGTTTCATTGCTTTACATGTTCCTCTGCATCCATGCAATTCTGTGTGGTATACATCAATCTCTGCCAACATATATTTAGCGGTATATATATATATATATATATAACATATGTGGTATGTTTTACTACACGCCAGCATGTTTTTGTCACGCTACTTAACTAAACTTCATTATTTTTTTTACTTAACCGCTAACATCTAACGTACCAAGGCATATTTAATAATCAGTGGACATTTTTAAACCACAGCTTTTTAGCTTAGCTTTTTATTAGCAACAACCCCTTTCAACCTGCAGGTCCGCTGCAACTCTGAAGACTTTTCTTTTTGCCGCTGCTTTTAATTGAACTATTCATATCTTAGACTGCACTGTAACTTTTATTCATGTATTTTTTCTTTTAATGTTTATTTTATTAGCTTTTCTTTTTAATGACTGATTTTAAATGCCTTTTTCTTAATGTCTTTCATTTTTTGTAAAGCACTTTGAATTGCCTTGTGTTGAAAAGTGCTATATAAATAAACTTGCCTTGCAGTTGGTCCTTTAATCAACATTATGAATACATTTTTGTATTTATCTAATAGGTTTTATTTTTACGCATTTTATAGTTGTATTAGCGACATCCTCTTTTAATCTTTCTTAATTATTTGTTTGTATTATTACATTTGTTTTTTATAATCGTTTTATTTACCTTTTTATTTCATAGGTTTTATTATATAATTGTATTTATCCACTTAAAGGTAGGGTAGGTAAGAATGGAGAAACCAGCTCGAGTGCGCTAGAATTTGAAAGTACACAGCCAGAAAAAAATCTGCCCCTTCCTTCAGACTTCCTCACAGAGCCCCTCCTCCAACACACGAACGCGCACATGACCAATGAGGGCACGAGATAAGTTTGTGCACAGATGGAAGGCTGACAGGCAGGTAGGCCATCCAGTTACTTTAGCCGGCTCAGATGATTGGTCGTGCTTTTTACAGCACTACGGCTTCCACAGATGACCTTTTGTTTATGTATTTAATGTCAAAGCATTTAATATATTCATTGCTATCGGGATGTTAAGAGCATTCCATGGAATATAACAAAAAGTGTTTCTGAAGTGAATGACCTACCCTACCTTTAAGTCATCCTTTATTTTTACAGAGAGATTGTTTTATCATTTCTTTTTTACCTCCTTTTGTCCCTTGAATTGTTATATTATGTTCTTATGCTGCACGTGTTTGACCTGGAGTGAATTTCTTGTTTTTTGTTTTAAATGTGTGATGTGTGCCATGTTGTCAAACACATTATTATTTTATTGTATTTATTTACTTGTGTGTTCCTTTATTTTACATAGAGGACATTTCAAAGAATATGTTATAGTTTTTATCATTCCTTTTAACCTCCTTTTGCCCTTAAATTGTTATATTAGAGTATGCTTTAAACCTGCATGTTTCTGTTTTAAATGTGTGCCATGTCATCAAAGCACTTTGAGCTGCACCCGGTGTATGAAAAGTGCTATACAAATAAAGCTTACACATTGTTTTTATCTTCAATATATTTTTTAAGCATGCTTCTTAGGTAACATTAAGCTGTCTTTGGCTCTTTTCTGCTGCAACAATGTAAATGTCCCCTCTGTGGGACTAATAAAGGTTTTCTTATTATTCTTATTACCCGTGTCCTATGCATGTGTCCTCTCTCTCACCTGTGCTCTCCCTGTAGTCTCGCGGCCGCAGCAGGGCGCTGGGCTCCTGGTATTCTCCCTCCGCCTCGTGGTCTCGGTCGTCGGGGAAGGTGTGTATGCGCTGGTAGCGGCTGGAGTAGCTGTGTGTGTTGTTGATCACAACGTTGTCCGAGGGCACCGACAGGTGGACTCGCAGCTCGTCACCGGCGAGACTGCCCTGCGCCTGGGGGGGGGGACACACACACACTCAGGTTATCTTTAAGATCTTCATTAACCATTTAACTCCCGATTAATCGATTGGTGTATCATAGGCCGACTATAAGTGAAAAATGTCCATGCCAGTGTTTTCTTCTTAAGCCTTGATATTACAGACTAACACCTGAACCCCGATGGGCCGGTACTGAAGTGGGCCGGTCGGATAAGCCACTAGCACCCCCCCCCATCGACAATTTACTAGCGGTATTTACTAGCGGTATTTACTTGCGGTCGAGAGTCCCGGGCTGATTTGTAGTCCCAGTCTGCCCCTGTCTAACACCACAAGTTATTGCCTTGGATATGATGTAAAAAAGACAAGAAATATATCAAAATTTAAGAGGCTCAAACAGCATTTCTTTGGACATTTTCGCATTCAAATTACTTGTATGATACTCATGTTATTTTTAAGATCTTCATTAACAGTTTATCTCTCGATTATTTTCTCGATTAATCGATTGGTTTATTATATGCCAAATATAAGTGATAAATGTCCATGCCAGTTCTTTGTTCTTAAGTCTTGTTAGGTCAGTCTTACACCAACATATATTTACTTTAATATGATATATAACACGTAAAAAGACAAGAAATATCCAAGTTTAAGAGGCTGAAAACTCATTTTTTCTTTCGATTGACTAGTCATTGCCGCTCTGAAGTAAATACAATAAGCAGGATCAAAACACCCAGGTGCCGGGGTTTTTTTTGGTGCAGGGAGTTCAAACTTATCCAGACTGGCAATAATCCCCTCATTCATGAAGGATACAATGTGAAGTACAGAGGGGTGGAGTCCTTTTCATCTACTTTTAAATGAGTTAAACAAAACATAACATTCATTAATGTAGGATTATTGCAGGATTGTTGTATTAGACTGCATTAGTTGTTCCTACCTGTATTTAATAAACTGGCAGCTGAGTTTTAGTGCATCATTTAAATCCCTAAAGCAGATGGTGACCAAACTGTGGAAAAAGCCTTTAATCTTTAAACAATTTGAAGTGAATGCATGAAAGATTCCCACAACACATCCAGATGGAGATCTAGAGGTAATCTGCCAAAAGAGCGGCAGTTATCATCTCAGCCTGCCATCAATCACTCACTATCGATTAAAAAAAGGGGCCTAATCACACAAGAAACATGTTCTCATTTAGGGTTATTTATTCTGTGGGAAATAATTAAAGTGAAAGCTGTTGACAGAAAGGACTATGGATTACCAAAACCATGTTTGTGGAAAAGTAACTAGATGATGTGAACTTCATTTACCTCCAATGAACCAGGGTGTTAACTATCAGTGTTTATCTACTGAAACCCTGACTGCATGATGAATATTGCTCGTAACCAGTGGCGAACCGTCAGGGCCTTCAAGGTATTCAGAGAATACCCTGGAACACTCAGATAAAACAAACAAAAAATCGATTTAATTATATAAATAAAATGTATATGAAATGAATAAATGAGAATGGTATCTGTGTTGTTGATCTGTAACATTACAGTGTTACGTTGATTTGTTTGTCGTTCTCGGACCATGCACTACGCATTTCAGTGGTTTTGTGTTAGAAAAGAAAGCAACCAATCAGATCTTGTTCTGGGTCGAATATCCTTCAACCAAGGTATTCTACATCCTTGATCGAATGCCCTGGCCGTTGCACTGAATGAGAGCGTACGTTTGGACTGACAGTTTGATCAACCAATCATATATTGATTTGTAGCCAATGGGCGTATTCTTTCAGAGTTTCCCTCGGTTCCAGGGTGCTCTAGAAGGCCCGCTAGTTAACTGGCTCGAGACGTGGCTCGCGGGGTGTGTGTGTGTGTGTCCACAGTAGGTCCAGCTGTGATAGACACAGTTCGCCACTGCTCGTTACATTCATCCATTATCTGTAATCACTTCTCCTTTACAAAGTCATGGGAGGCTGGCTCAGTTGACATGAGGCAGGTTATGCCAGGTCAGCACATGGCTGACAACTGATCACACTCACTGTTCTGGAGTTTTAGTCCAATCTACAATAAAAACACTGACTCTAGTTCACGTTCATACTAAACCAAAGTAAATAACCACTTAAAAACTCTTCATGCACTATTTCTATTTTATTTGTATTTACTTCCACATCTCAAAACATTCTCTTGCACAACTGTGGCTTAAGTTTTTCATATCTAAACTGTAGCTAATGACAATAAAGCCTTGAATCTGAATAATGGGGTATACATATATAAATCTTAAACATGAGAAAAATAATCAAACTACAATAATCCTATTAAAGTACAAATGGCTCCAACACTCACATTCACTTCTACGGGCAACTTGGCATCAGTCACTTAACCTGCCTGTTTTGGGACTGTGGGTAGAAGTCAGAGAATCCTAGGAAAACCCACTTTGAAAACAGTGAGAAAAGACTGCCAGCGGGTTCGAGCTCAGAACCGTCTAGACAGATCTGTCTCTGCACCACCCATCTCTAATTACAGTTAAATACTAACTCCTACTTAATGTTGCAATAGAAACGGTTTTTAACTTATAATTATAAAGTAAATGTTGACTGCACAATGAAATGGCTTTAGAAGAACGACACCATCGGGGTTAGATTGGTTTCGTAAAACCTCACGTTCACTGCGCAATTGCCACTGAATGAAGCCTTGACTTAAGGCCGAAATCTAAATGCAGTGTATCCTGTGCTGTTTCGTCGACACCTTTTTAATTAAAGAAGCAAGCCCTAGCTCTAAAACTTTCTAAAAATGTGATGATCATGCACTCATTTGCATATTTACAACGGCACTTGGCATTCATTTGCAAAAAGCTAAGTGGTCGTTAAATTGTTTTAGCTTTTATCCAAAGCAGCAGGAATCCTGAGTGTACATTAGCTTTAAGTAAGCCAGAGCATTTGATATACTACAACATATTTACTTTTTTTAGACTTTAAGAGCCAAGGTTCAGTGGAAACAGGTGGGTTTTTAGTCTATGACAGGAGATGTGTAAACCTTCTGCAGCACTGACATAAACAGAGAGTTTGTTTTCACCATTTTGCTGCCGGGACAGCAAACGGGTTGTGTTAGTGGTTGTCTTTCACCACTTGCATGTGACCTCTCTAGACTCACCTTGCCCAGGATCTTTTTCCAGTACTGCCTCCACAGAATGACAGCGATCACGGCCAATAGCAGGAGGATGATGCCCACCAGGCAGCCAATCAGAATAGCTGTATTACTGCTGTCATCTTTGGCTACAGGAAGTCCCGCCCTGGGAGTGTTACCACCAAATTCTGCATATTGAGGAGCAAAAATAGAGGGAGAAATGTTAGCTGTTTCTATGTGTGTCCGCCTGATGTGATGTGTGTACATTACTATGCTACACTGTCTATTCTTTGGCACACACACACACACACACACACACACACACACACACACACACACACACACACACACACACACACACACACACACACACACACACACACACACACACACACACACACACACACAAACACACACACACACACACACACAACACACACACACACACACACACACACACACACACACACACACACACACACACACACACACACACACACACACACACACACACACACACACAACACACACACACACACACACACACACACACCACACACACACACACACAAACCACACACTGGGGATTGTGTGCGAGGTTGAATCCAGTCTGCCCGCTCATACCACAGGGCTTCTCTTTGCACGCTGCTTTGAGAACAGAATGTGAACGGCTTCAGCTTCAGAGTTAAACATTAATCAATGTCATCGAGTTATTATGTCTCCCACAAAGGTCAATGTGGCATGTTGTTTGGGTGAGGGATGAACTAAACCAAAACCACTTTAACAGTAAGTGACGGTTTGGGACGAGTAGCACAGTTAAAAAAAACACACGCTTCATGTGTATACACAAATATACACCTGCAAGCACACACTTACAAGCCAACCATTTACACACACCACAACAGGAAACAACCGCTTTCTCCCCTTCTCTTTTGTCAGTTCAACACCATGCGGGTAATAAATAAATCCAAACAAAGCCGCTCAACCAAAGCCAGTCACAAGGACAAAGCAGCAAACACTGAAAACCATGTCATTGTTTAGCTATGTACAACAGAGCCAGTTCCCCCGAAAAACAACATGCATTTTGAGAGACCGCAGGAAGCCAAGTTGTTATTGTTCATTACATATAATGCACTATAGCTCTGTTAGTGTTTTTCCTACAGCTGTATATCTTCAAACCCACGGGACAGAGCGGAGCGCCAAAGCCTGGAGCCCCTCCTCCTAAGTTTCATACTCTGTGGGACCGTTTAGGATGCTGGAGGAGGGCCAGAGCGATGGAGCTGGGTTCATCTGTCTTTGTCTGATTTGAGGTTTTTATGCTCTCTCACCTGACAGCGTCCAGTTACCGGTGGTGTTCGTCATGAAGGAGTTGGTGGGAAGGGGTTCTGGAGGAGCGAGGGATGGACAAAGGAGGAATGTGTGAGAAGAGAAGAAGTGAAGACTCAGAAGAAAGTGATGAGGAGAAAGCAGGATTCTGGCTCATTTCGTTATGTAAATTAAAAAAGTGTATGCCAACTTTTAAGCGGTCAGACTGAGGTATAAAAAACCAGAATAAAATATTTGACCTTTACTTTAAGACCAGATTCCTCCTGCACTTTAAGTTGAATGAACTTTTTAAGATAAGCATCCGGTGTTGAATAAGGTTCAGCAAATGTCTGGCTCCGGGCCAAAGGATTTCAGAGCTGGTGATAAAGAGGGAGGCTCGTCCAACACAGGCTCCTTTGGCACCGCCTGCCTTTGGCTCTGCTTTATACTCAAAGCTTAGATACACTGGCGACATGCTCACACTCATCACTACTGCTGAGAAAGTGACGGGCACCGAGAGTGGAGGTGATGAGGGGGGGCTCAGGAGAATTAGAGAAGCAGGGGGGCAGGCTGAATACAGATGAAGCAGTGTGGTGGGTGATGAAAAGGGAGACAACTGAGAGAGAAGGGTTGGTGGAACGAGAGAGAGTAAATGTGGGGGTGAAGAGAAGGAAGATGGGGTGGAGAAGAAGCAGGACTCACCAGATGCATCAAAGGTGGAGTTGGAGGAGTTGGACGTGGGAGAGGAGGAGGTGAGGTTCACAGGAGGAGCAGTGGAGCTGGTGGAAGGAGTCTTGGGAAGAATCGGAGGAAATGAATCCGTCTCTGTGACATCCTTGTCAAATGGCTCTGGAAAAAGGAGGAAAAGCAGAAGAGGGGGAGGGGGAGGCAGTTTAATGAAAAGCAATCATGTTTTATGGGTTTAGGAGGTTTTCATATGGAACAACACACCGTCCTGTTGTCCCTGGATGTTAGGAAACAGTGGTTGTGTTCACAGCTGGTTGTGTTTCCAGACAAACACCAGATTATTTTCATGTTGTTGTTTGTGACTTGATGATTTGAATGATTGGCAATAGGCATGCACAATATCGGCAAACACAGGCCCATAAGATGCACGTGTGCAAACTCTTTGCAAAGCGGGGGGGAAACACTTGTGTCTGTTGTGTGGAGCTTTTGAAAACTGTCAAAAACGGATTATCGAAGTTTCAATTTATGATCAAATTCCATAAACACAACACATTTAATTTGGTTGTGCCTTTTTCACTAATGTCTCAGGGACAGCATGTTAAAGTCTGATTACGTTTATGTGTCACAAAAGTGAATACGGCATGTAACACAGGTTGGAGTTCTTTCCCCATTTGTCCAGTGAATGTACTTTGTTTTGGGCCAGAGGAGAGAAAACAACTAACTTCATATCACAGTTTTCTTTTAATACCAACATATGGTGTTTTAGTGGGTTTAACCCTTAGATGCATAAGTGGGTCTTCTTTGACTCGGTGAGGTGGTTTTCTTGAAGTATCTTTGTAATTACATTTTTTTATCATTTCATATTCCAGCTATTCCTCAAAAAACATGTTTTGGATATCGTGCCATTCACATTTTAAATTTAAATGTTATACATTTTAAGAAATTGTAGTTTTTGTATTACTACCCCAAGCTTCCATACGTGGGTAAAAAATGGCTAGTGTGAACCAAAATATAATACTAAATATTAGTAATATTATACAAGTGATTTTTCTTAACCAAAATGAAAAATGGCATAAAAACACATTCTTCTAATAAGGGTCCTTTTTGACCCACTTCTGGAAGAGTGTAGGGTCCAGTCACTCGTGCATCTAAGGGTTAAAAGCAACACCTGCCTGCTTGATGGTGAGTTGCTGCTAAACATCGACAACAGTCTGATACTAGGGGTGCACCGAATGGGAAATTCTTGGCCGAAACCGATACCGAAAATAGGAAACAGTTGGCCGAAAACCGAATGCCGAAAGGCCGAAAATGATTAATAGAAATATATATATATATAATGTATACAATTTTTACCAATGTTGTTCAGCTACCTGATTATGGAAATAGACATGATTATGGCAAAACTTAACTTAAATAATAATCACTATTATGGGTCCATAAAACATTTATTCAGCACTTTTGAATGCATACAGTACATTTATATATGTCATGTATTATTGCTAAAAAAACATTATATCGCAGTCTTAGTGTCGCCAACTCGTTTCTAATATGCAAAGACAACAAATGCGTCTATGATGTATTTTCGATCAGACGAGATCTCTCTCCCCCGTCTGTGTGCGAGGGGGCGGGGCAGTTTACACACACGCAGCTGCTACATGCAGCGGAGCACACTGCGGAGATGGCGGAGAGAACGCGCTCCGAGGTGTGGTTAAACTTTACCCGTCTCGATGTGGAGAATACTTGTTACCATAAGTGCAATAAGAGTTTAGCATGTAAGCACGAGCAATTTGTCTAAACATTTAGCAAAAGTGCACCGCATGCAGACGGAGGAATGTACCGGGTTCGACCGTCTTTCTAGCAGCTCTGTAGCCCCATCCACGAGTAACGTTTCCACGTCAGGTGTTATGTATGCTAGCAGCAACACACGGAGTTAACTCCATGATACAAACATGGGTTAATGATTAGAGGAAACTGAGTTATTTAGTTTGTTAAAATTTCAGCTATTCTGTTTACAGTCTGTCATCAGCTTATTTAATACGATTTGTTAAAGGCTCAGGGCAATCTCGATGACAAAGGTCACTGTTCCCCCCCCCTGTGAGCCAGCCGCGAGCATGGTCGCCGCGTCTTTATTACGTCATCACAACAACACGTTAGGTTACCAACGTAAGCCTGTTCTGACATTCGGTGATATTTTTTCGGTGCTAAAACCCTTTCGGCCGAAAGGGCCTTTTTAACCATTTTCGGCCGATAATTTTCGGTGGCCGAATATTCGGTGCATCCCTATCTGATACCAGAGGACACAATCATGATGTCAGCTCTGTCCCATCAAAGAACATGAGACTGCAGAGATGTGGAGGTGTTGGTGGTGTAGACTCTATATTGAAACCGTAAAGCTAACTTTACCTTGAAAGATGTTAAAATCATCACCCAGACAATAAATACCAATACCAGACAGGAACAAAAAGGTGTAACAAATGGCTTTAGCACAGTGAAACATCTCATAGTATTTTTTAAGTTGCTCATATGTTTAATGGAGCACTATGTGTCCATTCTTTCTGGAGCCACAGTTCTTGTCTGACTCGAGTCCAGAGACATGCCAGGCCGCTGCTGGGTGAATTGATTTCGGCTACCTGAGGGCGGTGTGATCACTGAGCGGATTCTTGTCACGCTAAACCGACTGACTGAGTTTGTGAGTGGAGAAGACAGTTGAATTAGTCTTCACAATCTAATTTGGAGGAGCAGAGGATCTGTCTGCCTGACTCCCAATCAGATAGAGCAGTGGTTCCCAAACTTGTTGTGCCCAAGGCACACCAAAGGACAAGTACAAATCTCAAGGCACACCTATTGTGCAATATAGCCCTTATAACACGTGTTATCACTCATATCATGTAAAATATCTGTAAATGTGCATAATTATTTACTAATGCCAAATAAAATGTGACAAAGACAACTATATTACTCGTGAAATATTTATTAACGAAATATTTCAGAAATTAATTTGAAACTTTATCAAATTAGGCTTCATCAAAGCAGCAACACACTCATTTAAACCAGACAGGTCACACAATTAAAAATGAGGCAAAGGAAACTCAGCAGAAATTCAGCACAGAAAACTGTCAATGCAAGGAAGCTGCATTGTCCATGGTCCTGAACTACGAATTATAAATGTATTACTTTTAAAAAAGTAATATATTACACTACTTCGTTACTATCTACATAAAGTAACTCGTTACTTTACTCGCCGAGCACGTACGAACTGCGCATGCGTGAGTGGCAATAACTTTCCTTACCAGCAGGCGGCGGTAGTGTGTATTTGTCATTCAAAACAGGCAACAACCGGAAGACAGAGAAGAAGAACAGACTACGTGATATAAACAAACAACAAATAGCGTGTGCGGTAGCTTCACCTTAGCATGTGTTCTTTGCAGGTGTGTGTTGAGGTTTGACCACGTGGTGTTTCCAGCAGTGGATAACAGCTTCTGGCCTGGACACAGTTTGCACCTCACCGTCACATTCCTGTCTATTCTTCGGACGAACTCAAAGTAATGGGCATACCTCCACCCCTCGACAGTTATCGCTGACTCAGCCACGTTTATGTAGCACTGCACGTGGAGATGTGGATGCGCAAGTCGCGCAGATTACGTACATATAAAGCTAAAAAGTACTGATATAGTACATTAAAAAATAATTATTTTTGTGTAGTTGTATATTGCAATAACAACGTATGGTTGTCACAAAATCCCGCGGCACACCGTTTGGGAACCACTGAGATAGAGGACTCAATCTCTGCCAGAAGATACCCAAACTCCCATTGTGTTTGCTGCCTGTCTGTTTCAGACTGTAAACTGGTGGATAGGGGAAGACAACAGGCCTTTTTACACTTTCTGATTCTGATTAACTTTACATTTATTGGGAGTGTTTTAATACAAATAAATGGAACAGTTCACGGTAGGCAAATTCAATGTTTTTTTGTAGAGCACAACTAAATTATGTTTTGTGTTGAATCTGCCAGTACTGAGCAAGGTCTTTGACTTTAAAAGAAGTTCTCATATCTTAAATCAATTCAAAGCACACAGCAAGGACAAACGTTGCATTCATGTGACTCAGGGTCGGCGTCATGGGGGGTCATTCGAGGGCCATGCCCCCCCCCCAAATGAGTCACTGTGCCCCCCCAACGCAGGGTGGGCAAGCCTTGCCACTTTGCCATTTTTTTGTTTTTTTTTAATCATAGAAGTGAAAATGTTTCCACTAAAGGTTTTCTGTGTGAAATACATCAGAAATAAAGAATACAAATATAAAACACAGCCTGAGGTGTGCTCACTGCTGCTCTCTGATTGGTGTGTTGCTTGACCAATGACCCCCGACTTTTGTTTTGTTATCATTACGTGGCTGTGTGTTTAGATGAAAGCCCAGTGGCGATCTGTTCATCTGTTACACTGATTAGTAAAGCCATCGAAAATAATATGATATACAGTACAGTACAAGTAGCCTACTTCTGGGTCTCTGTGTTTCATTCAAGCTTGGCTCTCTGTGTGTGTGGCACGATCGCATTTTGTGAGTGCGCGAGCGGTAACATGGAATGTTGTTGTTAGCATCCGGTTAGCTAGCTATGCTAACAGATATAAAGAGCTGTTTCTACACCAAGGTGGAGGAGAGTCCTCTCCTGTCAGACTGAGAGGATCGTATAACCTCAGCTCAGTGAGGTAAGGACTCTCTCAGTGTTTAGATAGTTCACTTTAGTGTAAGTTATCTCAGTGGGTCTCAAACGGTTTGGTCACCATTTATGTAAACAAGTATTTGCGAGGAACACATGTATATGATCATTAGCCTATAGCAGTGCTTCTCAAAGTGTGGTCCGCGGACCACTGGTGGTCCGTGAGCGCCCCCTAGTGGTCCGTGAGTATATTGGTAACATTTCACATTTGAAATTAATTAATCAATTTAAGTTTTCCGCACTCTCGCGGGAATATCTCCGCAATGAAGCAAGGTTACGTTTCACTTTCGATTGCATGATATAGCCCAGCGCAACACCTTCATCACACATGTTGCCACTTGTTTGTACCATTTTCAGGCGATGTGTAATCTGTTCTAGAAAAACGATGTGGTTTTTGATATTTGTGGAGTTAGGTGGTCCGCGAGTGTTTTTGTATTGGTTAAGTGGTCCTTGGTATGAAAAAGTTTGAGAAACACTGGCCTATAGCCTAGTTATTTAAAAAAATAAGAGAATAAATGAAAAACGGGTATGAAATACTATTGGACAGTAACACAAGAATACAGTTTAAAAGGGGAGTGATTAGTAAAATATCCATAAAGAAAAAGTTAATCTGTGTACAGTTCTGTTTCATATGAATGCTGAGAGATGTAGGCTATCCATAGATCTCTTCATGTTGCTCTCAAAGTGCACCAGATTGATGCATTTAACTTCAATATTTTAAAAATAATCTTCCCGGGGGAGCATGCCCCCAGACCCTCCTAGAGGAGGTTAGGTCCACCCCCACCTAAAACATATTCACATGGATAGGATACAAAATACATTTGCACACTTTTTATATGGTGGCCTATGTCCATATGTTTCTGTTTTGGTGGTTGTGCCACAACCGTGCATATATGCACAAGTCATAGGTGCGCTATACAATAGCACTACACCCTGCAATGTGTGTGAAAGACAATAGACTTTACAGCATGTTTTTTTAAATTGAAGTTGCGTTGGTGTTTGTGTGTTGGTTGTTGACGGCAGTGTGTGCCCCCCCTTGGTAAATGATTGCCCCCCCATTCGATTTGTTCTAGAGCCGACCCTGATGTGACTGCTGGTTAGATTTGAAACCACTGTACCTACCTGACCTCCAAAAAATAGAACATCTACACAACAGAAACGCAAATCTCACATTTAACCCTCCTGTCGTATTTGAGTCAAATCTGATCATTTTACTTAATTCACATCATAAACAATGTATTTTACATTTGATTGTTTCAAACGATATCCTCCACATTAGGCATTTGAACATAAAATGCTGATCACCACTTTCATTGAGTTTTGAGTGGTTTAGTCAACTTTGTAACACCTAGAGCAGGGGTGTCAAACTCAAATACACAGTGGGCCAACATTTAAAAATGGGTACTAGTCGAGGGCCGGACTGGTTCAATGTTTATAGCAAAACTTATTGAAATGAACTTATTGCACATATTAAACCTGGAACTAACAAAGCTTAAATGATTAAAAACATTAAATAATCAGTTGCATTCATTTCTTATGGCTCTATCTGCAGAGTCATTTCTTATGATTACATTTTTCCACAGGCCAACAACAGCTTCAACAAAACTATTTCCCTCAAAGAAAAACCAAACATGCCCTGTTGTCGTGAGAAAGAAAGTGCAGAAGGAAACATCCATTAAACTCAGTGTGCTGCTCTGTGAAGCTAGCTCAAGCAGATACTTGGCATCTCATCTTGGGTGCAAGGTCATCAATGTTTGGGCTCAGGCTCTGAGCTGAGGAGACCCTCAGGATGGAGAGAAGGTGTGCGTGCAATATACCGGCGGGCCAGATCTAATAGGAATTATAATTATCCTGCGGGCCGAAATGAAATCCACCAAGGGCCCTTGAGTTTGACACATGTGTCCTAGAGTCTGGTGTTCCCGATCAAAAAATACCTCCACAGGAAATGAATGTGTAACCCTAGATTATGTTCATCAATTACAAAATGAGTGTTGTCTGTTAATGTAAGAGCAGTTAAGACCGACTGTTCAAATTTGACCAGCAACACCAAGGGTAAGGGGGGAGAAACGAACACGACAGGAGGGTTGAAACAAACTTTTCACTTCATCGTGTTTCTTACCAGAGAGGAAGGATATCTCGCTGATGAGCAGCCATCGATCAGCAAAGTAGAATTTGCAGAGGAGGATCTGAGCGGGCCGGCCGCCCAGCGGGAGGGTGATGGGTCGAGAGGAGGGGTCCTTCAGATCCTCCAGGGGCACGGGCAGCGTGAGGGCCGCAGACCACGGCTGCAGGATGCTCGGCTTGAAGAGACACTCCACTTTGCTGAAGACTCGCACGCCCTGAGTGTGGCGGTTGTTGCTGTGCACCTAGAGGAGGAAGATGAGGGAAGAAAGAGGAAGAGTTAGACCTTTAGTTATCTACACACCTGAATTAACTCGACCCTGATGCATATTTGTATATATATATTTTGTATTGATTGTTGTGTTTTTAATCTTAATGTGTGCATATGTATAAATGTGTCTTTTGATTGTGTATATATAGGATACACATATTTATATTTTTGTATTCGGGATGATTGGAAACGGGATTTTGAACACAAACTGAAAGATTGACAATAAAGTTGACTTTGACTTTGATGGGAAATAGGGCTCTAATCACTCATACTTCCTGGAGACACAAAGAGATTCAATTAACTCACAACAATTAATGACATATTTTCATCCCGTTTCAACCGTAATTGCTTTGGCACGACTCAGAGCTGAGCAAGAATACAAGTTAGACACAGGAGGGGGAAAAGAAAACGATGACAGAAGACCGATGGAGGAGAGCAGATGATACATCTTTACAAGCAGAGAAAGGCCAAAGAGAGAGGAATCCATAAAAGCTGATGTACGAGGCGTCATCCTGGCTGGAGGGAGGAGGAAGAAGAGGAGGAAGAGGAGGAGAGGGAGGGACGTGGAGGAAGATGGAGGAAGATGGAGGAGGGAGTTAAACAAGCAAGAGGTCAGCACCCTAGATCTCAGAGACGGGAAGGGTGGGAGGTTTTTTCAGTGCAAAGGGTGACAGGTTAGCTATTAACCTCACACTTACAAGAAGGCCAGCCACTCTAATCTGCTCCACATGTTAAAACACATATATACACACACACACGCGAGAGGCAGGAAGAACAGCTGCACCAGATGCTGAGTTAACCGATTCTATCTGAAAGGGGACAGAATGAGGGGGTGAGGGTGTGTATTATATGTGAGTTTTAGCAGTAAGGGGTCTATTAAGTCGACAGAACTAGAGTAATGCACTACTCCTTCAGGGGAAACGGCTCCAATGACCTGCACAAAGCTTCATTTGAGAACATAACGCTGCATTAGTTATGTTTCACTTGTTTCACTTGTAAATCTAACGTACATTATGAGCTTCCTCTGATCTTTCGGTTTCCCCCAGCTTTCACTTGCAATGAAAAGTTACATAAATTCCCAGAGGACAGAAACTAATCTTTACAAAATGCAAATCAGAGGGTGCCCAGTCTGGTAAAGGTCCTGCAGGAAGTGTATGTCATGAGCAACAGAAGGTCAGAGAGCAGGGTTCCCTTTGGGAGCGTGATTAGGTGAAAGTTTAGGAACTACAGACACAAGTCAAGCCTGAATTAGCTTCAGGTTACCACTCTGTATTTACTTGACCCGTGTGTCCGACATATCCGCTCTGCCACACCAGCATAACGGTGTGTGTCAGCTGAGGTTAGTGAGGGAAACCACAGGGGAAAAGGCAGGAAACACAGGATAAGAGAATACCGCTGGGACCCATTTCAAAAGGTAACTGAGAAACACTGGAATAACAATGAATATGCGAAGAGAAAAAAAGAGCTGAGGAAACATTTTAGAAATGTTGGATCGCAGTCAAAACCAAAGCCACTGAGAGATTACATGTCACGCTGACAGTACTGACTAGGGGACTGTTTAATATGTATAGGACAAATCCCACCCTAACCGACATTCCTACCCGCATCCAACGAGACAACAGTTATAACTCAAACTGGGTTGCTTCATATTATCATTCCCCCTCTGTTGCTCCACAAACTAACCCCAAAAGCCACACAGACGCACAAACAAAACTGTGATGCAACGCGGTGGCACCCAGACGCACTGTCCCATGGTAAACAATGGCACATTAAAACTAATGAAATGGCAGCAGAGCTTTTCCAGCCAGAGCGTTGCTTTCTGACGAGATGGCAGCCCATAACTCTGCGCTGGAGTTCGTCTGAGAGGCCGTGGAGCTGTGCGAATTGCAAAGGAGTTTCATCCGATGCGGAAAGAAACTCAGCCTAATGTCCTGCCATAAACTCAATAACATGTTTCCCTCTATGAGTTAAATTAATTAACCAAATTAAGGTATTCATTATAAAAGGTCTTTGTCTGCATACTTGTCTTCACGTAACACATGGTTATCATTAACGGGGTCTCATTTTCAAACATAAAAGGAGTTATTTAGTTCAATATAATCAGCCGCACTTCTTTAATATGCAGATTTATGCATCAAGCTGCTCTAAAATCTAATCATCTCGTCTAGGGGGAGGCAATCTTATTTACACAGGACCTTATTACACTCAGAGGTCAAAGAAAAGGAAAAAGTGTAAGACTGGAACAAGAAAAGTTTACATTATGAACAGTTCTCGTTCACCATTTTGATGCAAGCTGTAAACATGGAAAGAAAGGAATACAATGCAACTAAGACCCCATTTACACGGGAGCGCAAACGGACCGAAATTCGTTATCAAAAAAGTCTTCCGTTCACACGCATTCGGCTCATTTAACGTGTCCGTTCAGACGAGACCACTGGAAACGCTGGAGTACATATGCCGGGCCTGTAAGTGGCGCTGTACTTCCGCCACAAAATACACCAAAAGCAGCGAAGAAGACCCCCGAGCATGGTTGCCTTTCTGTTTATGCCCCGCGGTAGATTTAACAACATGTAGTTCATGTCATTCTCCATGTCCACTTGTTGCTGATGGTTGTGGTAGAGGAGCTGTAGATGTTGCACTAACATCTGTAGCAGTAGCTACTGACCATGCTACAGCAGTGAGCAGCAGAGATGGGGAGAGGCGGGGCTATGGCTTCATCGTTATCAGGAAATGATCGTATAGGACGTACACACGGAGCCGGTTGCCCCCCCCAGAGCGTTCCGTCCATAGATCTATCCACCTTGGGACCAGTTATCATTTGAGGGGTCCGTTTCCGCGGTTCCGTTACAGCCTCGTGTGAACGAACGGGCTATACATGAGAAAAGTAGCAGATACAACCCGTTTCGTTCTCGTGTAAACATCGCCTAAGCTACTTGTAGATTAATCAGTGATTTTTCATTTTTAAAAAGGTACAGTTTGTGTCTTAACTACTACGAGTCAGTGTTTTTGGATCAATGTCACAGACAAAACAATCCAATGGGATAACAATGTCCTGCATAACACTCTTACATTCATTTACACACAACACAAAGACATCGTGATCAAATTTAGATTGGGTTTAGATGAGACTGATTGTGAACACGAGAGTCTGTAGATTCTGCATTATCTGTTATTCGTGGACAAACTGAGTTGCCTTGCAATTTATATTAGAGGATATTTTAAAAAAGAAATCTTAGGACACAGACAGGAAACTTTATCCTGGATGAGATCTCTGACGGTGATTTATTTACAGGCAGCTCCACACTGTCGGAGACTGCAGTGGGGTTACAATGTCCTGCGTAACCCTCTCACACGTGTTTACACAAACAACAAAGCATGACACAAACTCTCACTGCCTACCTGCATGTTGTTGAAGACGCGTGGTTTCTCAAAGTCGAACTCGATGTCCACGCTGCCTTGCCCGAGGGCTTCCCGGCTCCAGCCCAGGTAGTCGTACCCGGGCCAGACCCTCAGCTCTTTAGTCTGCATGAAGTCGTCTCCTCCCAGGACGCCGTCGCACAGCTGACCCAGGCCTCCGAACTGCATCCTGCACACACACAGTCTAGAGGTAAGCTTCCTGTAAATGTAGGTTTTTCTCAACGTGTTGATCAATGCGGACTGTAATTATGACGGAATATTGGACTCAAGAAGTCAGTATTTTAAATATGAATATTTTTCTCATTTCTCTATAACAATACTTGTTTTGAAAATACTAAGTTCATTGTAAATATTTCCTCTTTTTACTTTTTTCCTTCTATTTTCTCTTCAAAATTGTTCAATTTGTTATCTCTTACTACTTATATCCTTATAAAGTGTGTATTGTTGCATACATCTTCACCAAAGATAATACTGTATGTGTGAACCTACATGGCAATAAACCTGATTCTTAAATTTGACCACTTTTGCTTAAGGTCATAACTAATGGATTATAGTAGCCGTCTATTCAATGCATAAAGTTCAAAGTTAAAAAGCAACACCTGTCGTAAATAATAAAATATAGCACTTTGACATAGTCCCCCCTATGTCAATATATACAAATGATACATGATATTCAACAACTATGTAATCTGTCACGCCAAGATAAATATTTGTTCCCAGATATAAATATGTGCTCAAGTGGCTCTAACAAGCATCCTCCACTGACGTAAACTAAACCACACTGAGTTACCGTGTAGTTTTGTGCAGGAATAGTGCTGCACTGTGGACCGCCGTCACTTTCTATTTACAAATGTATTCATGTAGAGGCATGCAAAGATGCATAAATAAGCATATATGCAAAGATGCATAAATAAGCATATATGCAAAGATGCATAAATAAGCATATATGCAAAGATGCATAAATAAGCATATATGCAAAGATGCATAAATAAGCATATATGCAAAGATGCATAAATAAGCATATATGCAAAGATGCATAAATAAGCATATATACATAGATGCACATGCAGGCCCGCACACACTGCGAACTACACACATCTGCTACAGATAAGTCTGGATTACATCAAGCGTGTTAGCTTACTCGCTAGCAAAACATTTCAGCCCCATTACCCTCACAGCCATGCTCGTGCAGGGCCCCCACCAACTCAGAGTTCACCCCTCCTTCACTCCCTGCCAAAACATTACGGCCAGGAAACACACCTGAAATTCCTGAGCAACTAACAGAAATAATGTCATTCCCTTTCGATTATGGCGGACACTAGAATAAACTTTCAAGGAAGGATTTGGCTGAGTCCCCACTTCAGTGCTAACAGATGTGATGAGTGCTGCAGAGGGGAGTTTGGTATTCCACTGATCCCTCCACAGTGTTCACCGTAACCCCTTCTGAATGACTGCATCTGTTTCATCACGCATTTCCATGCAAACAATATCCAAAAGCAGCAATTTCTAGGAGTGTATGGAGATGAGATACCGTCTCATACATAGACATTACAATGGTGAAACAAAGAGAGACGGAATATCTTACCCTTGCTCAGTGCTCCCATCATAGGTGGAGTCATTCAGATAGACAGGCATGCCAGAGAGGTGCATGACGTGACCCACTGGAGCCGTGTAAGCCTTCAAACCATCTGCAGAGAAACATGGACATATTTTCAAGATTATTTATGCTATTGGGAATACAAGAGATCTTTTAGTGTTCTATTTAAAAAGACAGACCTGCTGCATCTGAAGCTTTTCATTAGCATCGTTAGCAACTTTAAAGGTCCCCGACATGTCTCTGAAGTGTTTGGCTCCAAACACCAAACAGATCTTTGCAGCATTACCCATAATCCCCTCTGTTTCAGCCCCATTTCCAAAGTGCTGATTCTCTGTCTGTTACTTTAGATGAAAATAAGGAGCCCCTCCCCACGCCCCTCTGAGAGAGATTTGGTTACAAAGAACTCAATGGTGCTCTAGAGGAGATTCAGGTGATAAGGGGGGGGGGGGTTACCTTGGTTGCTGATTGGCTAATGGTTACACAAGACAAACATCGTTATGACATCATAAAGTGGACAAAATCTAATCAGCATTTTCAGACAGGTTTTTATAGAAATGGATCAAAAAGAGAGAGAATCTTTGTTCCTGAAACTTTCAGAGTCTCTTTCCACAGAGGGGACACATGTTGATGTAGAAGAGACATGAAGAAGAGGGGACACATGTTGATGTAGAAGAGACATGAAGAAGAGGGGACACATGTTGATGTAGAAGAGACATGAAGAAGAGGGGACACATGTTGATGTAGAAAAGACATGAAGAAGAAGGGACACATGTTGATGTAGAAAAGACATGAAGAAGAGGGGACACATGTTGATTTAGAAAATACATGAAGAAGAAGGGACACATGTTGATGTAGAAAATACATGAAGAAGAAGGGACACATGTTGATGTAGAAAAGACATGAAGAAGAGGGGACACATGTTGATTTAGAAAATACATGAAGAAGAAGGGACACATGTTGATGTAGAAAATACATGAAGAAGGGACACATGTTGATGTAGAAAAGACATGAAGAAGAAGGGACACATGTTGATGTAGAAAAGACATGAAGAAGAGAGGACACATGTTGATTTAGAAAATATATGAAGAAGAAGGGACACATGTTGATGTAGGAAAGACATGAAGAAGAGAGGACACATGTTGATGTAGAAGAGACATGAAGAAGAGGGGACACATGTTGATGTAGAAGAAACATGAAGAAGAGGGGACACATGTTGATGTAGAAGAGACATGAAGAAGAGGGGACACATGTTGATGTAGAAGAGACATGAAGAAGAGGGGACACATGTTGATGTAGAAGAGACATGAAGAAGAGGGGACACATGTTGATGTAGAAAAGACATGAAGAAGAGAGGACACATGTTGATGTAGAAAAGACATGAAGAAGAGAGGACACATGTTGATGTAGAAGAGACATGAAGAAGAGGGACACATGTTGATGTAGAAAAGACATGAAGAATAGAGGACACATGTTGATGTAGAAGAGACATGAAGAAGAGGGGACACATGTTGATGTAGAAGAGACATGGAGAAGTGGATTTTGCATAATTGGTGACCTTTAAATCGTCACCACTGGCACGGGCAACTGCTGCAGATGTTTTTTTAAGAAGTAAAACAAACAGAGAGGTCTGCTGCCCGGGCCCACAGAGTCCCAGCCAACATTAACGGGTGAAACTGAAGCCTCCCACTCCAATATACAGCTAATCAGCCCGCTCCACGAGAGCAGAGGTGACGTCAGCAGCACTCACTAAAGCCCGCTGCTTTGCTACCCATAATAAACAACGCTTCACACAGGATTTACACTATGTGCGCAGTATGCTCCGTTTGCACATAAAAGTCTGTGGATGTGATTATGCTCTCGCATGTGTGAGAGAGTGCAGGTCCGAATTGAATGTAAAACAATAAACACAGGAAAGACACCGTGCGGCCGCTTCATCTGATACCGGATGAGATGAGAGGCCGACATTTGACATTCTGTAAATCCTGTATAATCCCTGGCTTGCGGGGGGGGGGATGAGCTGCAGTGAATATGTTAGAGAGATGGGCCTCCCCCGAAGACACAGAGCGGGATCTGAGGGTTGTAGCCTCTGCAACAGTTCTGATTTACAGGCAGACTGATGCTGCAGGAGGAAGGTGGATGGAGGGGAGGAGGTGAGCCCCTCATAAATACTCAGCTAGTCAGTGTTGTGTCCTTAGTGAAGCATGGAGACCAACACAATTTATCACTGTGTGGCTTTACCCGGGAAAACCCTCAGCGGGGCTGTTAACTTGATGAAATGCCACATTCATGGGACGTATGGGGAAAACATGCTCTCGTAATCATTACCATCGAACACATCAGTAAATCTAGGATGATCGTGGATTCAGTCACATTCAACTTATGTAATGTGATCTAATGCATCGAGGTGCCTAAGAATATACCAGTGGTAGAAGATGAACTCTGATCTTTTGTTGAGTAAAAGAAGAAATATTACAGTCATAAAATACTGCAAGTCAAAGTAAAGAATTAAAATGTAACTTAAGAAGAAATTAAGAAGTATGTTCAGCAAAGTGTACCAAAAGTAAGCTCAGTGGCACTCAACATGTGTGGGAGAGAAACTCCCTCTGGAGGAAACTTTGGGATTTTAGCCTCTGCAGACCATTTACATGCACTAAAACCTACACATTACAGGAAAGGGAAAACCCCCAAAAAACCTTATCGGGCCTTTTTAAGCTGACCCTTTTATTCAAAGCGACTTACATTAAGATTAAGTGCATTCAACAATGAAGAAAAGCAAATGTCCCGCAGGTACATCAGCTTTCTTGAGTGTTCTCATTTCTCTCCATGACCTCCACACAAGACTCAAAGGTTTTATTATCATATGCACAGTGTAGAAATGGCAATGAAATTCTTCTGACCTGAGCTCCTCCAACAATGCGACATATATAATAAAATACAAATAAAAAATTGTGCAAGAAGTCTATATACATGTAAATAGAATATGATGTGTACAAGAACAGAATATGAAATGAAATATTGTACGTTATAGATCACCTACTATGCAAAATCCACTTTTTCATGTCTCTTATACATCAACATGTGTCCCCTCTGTCTGAAAACGAGCTGATCAGATTTTGGCCACTTTATGATGTCATAACGATTTTTTTGGCTTGTGTAACCATTAGCCAATCAGCAACCAAGGCAACCCCCCCCCCCACCTTATCTCCTGAATCTCCTCCTAGAGCACCATTGTGTTCTTTGTAACCTAATGTCTCTCAGAGGGGCGTGGGGAGGGGCTCCTTATTTTCATCTAAAGTAACAGACAGAGAATCAGCACTTTGGAAACTGAGGGGATTATGGGACGCTGCAATGATCAAACACTTCAGAGACATGTTTTGTATATATCTGAAACCTATAATATATTGATGAAAAACAGTATAATAGGTGACCCTTAAAACGAAATTAAATACGGTTTATTGCGGTGATAACTATTTAGATAAAAAGTAGATTGCAAGATGACAAGCACTCACCGTTCCACAGACAGCCGTAGAGCTCCACCCGGAGGCAGACGCTCATGACCCGGTCAGCGAGGGGGTAGAAGCGCACCATACGGGCCACGATGGGGGGGCCCAGGTCCTTAAGGACAACATCATAGGTGTTCTCATTCCCCGTCACCACCTGGGGAGGGAGAAACAGATATGTAATCTCACTGTACACCGCTCCTCTCCTCTGTTATCTGTGGGCTTGAATTAACCTCGCCTCAGGGCTCCGACTTCTCATTCAGTGTGTGTCTTCTCATTCTCTCTTTCAAAGGAGAGTTTAAATGAACTGGCTTATATCTTTAACACACTTAGGTTTAAAGGCAGACTGCTTTAAGAGTGTGAGCCTCTGGCAGTTTTTGTGGCATCACAAGACTTACATCTGCGTTTAATCTTTGAGTGTTTGTTGCTTGGCAATGTTCTGAAATAATATGAAAGTGGAAACCAAACACAGGTATGTGCAGGAATCCTGAAGTCAGTGTAAAACCTTTTAAGACCTTTTTTAAGACCCTTTCCATACATTTTAAGACCTCATCGCCACTTGGAGTTCTAACCGGTTACCTTGACGACACACTTTACCTCACATTGACTATATACAGTATTGATTGTCCTTCCTCCTTATCTTCCAACCATTTGGACGCAGACTTGCATTTCCCCGTAACGATGTTTAACAACCGGCGTAAACGGACCTTCGCGCTATCAAGCAGTGAGCGTGCGATGTCCTGTTCAGATGACGTCAAACCCAACGGGATGCCATCAATAAACTACACAGAATCACACTACACACCTACGCAATGATTACATTCAGGCAGACTGTAGAATACAACCTCTCTGGACCATTTATAGACTTATTGAAAACAAGCTACAAAATGTCATAACTTGGAAAATGCCGTTTAATACTTTTTAATAGCCTTGATTTTCGCTAAATTGATTTATCAACTTTTAATACTTTTTAAGACCCCGCGGACACCCTGAAACGGTATGATTTCTTCCCTGAAATATCCGCTCTTGGAGGTATAAAAGAAAAACATTAAATCCCCCATGTTATCATGTAGTATTGTAACAGAACACAGTGCCGAGCTTATCACAAAAGAAAATATTGGACATTGTCCAAACTCAGGGTGTTTCTCAATGTCGAGTAAAGCTGCTCCAGAGCCACTATTTCATAGCATACTACGTCATCGAGTGCCGCCGAAGTACTGTTCCAATGTCCAGCATACTTGGAATTCGACCGAGCCCGGCGTACTTCGTTTGGAGAAATTTCGAGGCTGCACATGTGCAGACCAGAGCCCTAGAGATTAGTATCTCTAGGGCTCTGGTGTAGACTCCAGTCTTAAAATCCCCACAATGCTTTGCGCACGGACCAATTTCCCCAAATCTGTGGCGTAAAATGTAAGGCGGGGCCTCTCATATGACGCACACTTGCTCGCCTGTTCCACTCTTCGTTTTCCGAATGCCAGGAAGGATTCTTGCCTCCCTTCTGAAGGAAGTGACTCGGAAGACATGCGCTACCAAGCAAGTGTACTCAACATTGAGAAACACCCACAGTAAGAAGCCTTTATCCGCACAAGGTCAGACATTCATTGCATAGCGTTGAAAACTTGCCTGAACAGAAAAAGTTACAAGACACAGTTCCTCTGGCACCGTGACAGACTTCTGCACTCGCCAAAAAATACTAGATAAATCTAAAACAGATGAATTATACAGCCCTCTGTGTTTAACATGACATTGATATTAAACAGCCACAGGACATGCAGCTGCTTCCTATCAATAAAGGAGAACTTGCTTCATTTTCCTTAAAGTTCGTTCATTGGCATTCAGAATGTCACTGTACTTCATCAGAGTTCACCGAGACAGTGACAGTATGCTGCTCCGTTTTAATTAACAGAGATAAAGACGAACCTCCCGGCCCCAGCGGTCCTTCCAGGTGATCCATTTCACTCCGTCTCGGGAGTAGCGGAGCCGATAACTGCGGGCGAACTCCTGCCCGTGCCCGTCGGCATGGCGACCCTGGGTACCAACCAGAGCCAGGAAGTGCAGTTTGTGCAAGTCGACCTGCAGGAGACAAGAAATACATCATCAAAACACGAGTCACTCACTAAGAAACAAACAAACGGTGAGGGTCTAAGGACAGAGGGTCTAAGGACAGAGGGTCTAAGGACAGAGGGTCTAAGGACAGAGGGTCTAAGGACAGAGGGTCTAAGGACAGAGGGTGTCGTTTTCTCATACTGATATTCTGCACAAACTGTGCTGTTGTATTTGCTGTAAAGTGTCTTTACTGTAGGCTATTTTTATTATATGTACAGCACTTTGGCTCGACCAAAAATCGTTTAAAAATGTGCTATATAAATAAAACTTGATTTGATACAGATAAAGGAATTAGATCGAGGAAACATGAACAGCTGAATACAGTATGTCACACTTGTGAATGTTGGATAAAGTTGTATTATTGATATCATCCTGCAGGCAAAACAGATTCACAATAGAGGTAGTTTGTTGTAACCCAGGCCTCGGTGAGGTATTGTGGGTAGTGCATGCTAATTGCATTCAACCTGCTAAAAAGAGTCATGTCTGGTCATAACGGTAAAGACACTGTAATCATTTACATTGTTAATAAAAAATGGACTCAAATGCAATTTTATTTTCATGTCTCGGTTGTTTAAGTTATCTTGATAAGCATGTGTGGGCATGTGCGGAGGGAGGGAGGGGGGAGTGTAGTGAGTGTACTGTGATATGGCATCGATTACTGTACACTATAATGAAATAAAAAGACTTTTATTGCACTTTTATTATTAATGAATGATTTTATTGGTGAAATGCAATTAAACAACCAACCGTGTTAGTTTAATAAGGTCATGTTATTGTCTGGTCATTGGCAGCCATGTGCCAAACAGGAAGTGAGTGCTACCAATGGGCTTTAAAGAAGACTCGGACTGTAGAATGGTTAGTACAAAAGGGAGAATGACTGTTGTAAGTGCCATAAACAACTTTATTATTCATATTTCACCTATTAGATTATGCACCTTGTTGTTTTTCTGTAGGAGAAGTTTCATTTTTAAAAGCAAGTGGTAGAAACATCCTGAGGGGGATTAGCTGTTTAATTTAAAATGTAATCAGTTCAGGCACAGAGCTGCTGGGAGCGTGCTGCTAGCTAGCCAGGGGCCTAGGTTAAGTCTGTATGCTAGGCTAAGCTAATCACCCTCTGGCTTTAGCTTCATATTTAGTACATTCCTCAAAATTCACTCTACTGCAGACAGAGCCCACAAACTCATCATGAAGTTATTAAATCTCCAAAGTATTGCCTTGGTTGGATTAAAGCTGTTATTAAATCATCAATGACCTTCTGTATCCTCTCCTTAGTAATTATTTAACAAATGATAACAATGTAATGTTATTCGGTAAAAGTAAATGTCAAAAGGTTCTGGTAAACACTATAAACTTCACTAATCTTATGTTTTGGTCTGGTTTGTTTGTCAGCAGGGTTAGAGAAAAACTGCTGACCCGAATCTTGGTGGAGGAGTGTAGCATGGGTCAAGGAAGAACCCATTACTTTTAGGGCCCTTTGTGGAGCTCTCTACTCTCCGTGTGCCCTTTTAGTACCAATTCTAACTTTTCCAATCAGAGAAGCGTATCTGACCTGAAGGTATTCTGATTCACTGGGAAAAACAGATCCTGCAGGACACCAGGCTCCATCGCCCTCTCCAGTACTCAACCTGCGAGAAACACAGCATTATTAAAAGTTAGAGCAAGAAAACAACCCCAACAAATGTTGAAATAAAAACTGAAAAGTTCACCGATTCCCAGTCCCACACCCAAACATTCAGAGAAGCAAACAAACCCAAAACAAGACTGAATACATCAAAAGTCTCAGAGCCGGCAGCCACAGAGGCACAACTGAGAATCAAAAACACAAACAGTCCGAGCCTCTTCTACCAAAACACACATCGATTCAAGAGCAGCCAAACGATGACTTGTAAATTGGGCAATGCAGTCTGAAAGAGAGAGAAAGCCTGGCTATAGCTACAGACGCACAGTAGGCAGTAGAGAGAGAGAGACGGCAGGAAACTTCACATGAAGAGAGGATGAAAGGAGTAGAGTGAAAATGACTGGCTCTTTAAACCTCATAACAAGATCTGGTGTCAGGTTCAATCTTTCCTCGCAGCTCCTCGAGGCTCCTGACCACACACATGCAGCATTAAAAAGATTTTCCCTCAGCGTGACCTTCGTCTATGCAGCCTGGGAAGAAAAGTCCACACTCCCACCACACATCGGCCACATGAAGACCTCAAAGTTGGCTTGGTGTGGCTGTGACGTCGGATCAATTCGTACGAGGAGCTTTTGGAGGAGACGCCAGGCCACAACTCTGACCACTGTGGGGCTTCTCTCAAAATGAAAACTGCTTCTAAAACCGCCAAAACAAATCACTGGATCAACTCGGTCACACTGACAGAGGCGAGGGTATTTCAATCAGTCCCCCTCGGTGGGTGACATCATGAAGACTTAAGACCACAGGATGATTATCAACACATAAGAGCCTCACAAAGTGATGGAGGAATGAGGCAGAGCTCAACCGCTAACCAGCCAGCAGGATTATCATTACGACGCTCTGCCAAGTACCTACTTCTTCTGCTATTGCTCTGCTTCCTACCTAAATACCAGCCAAGTATTCATCCCTCTCCCCTCGTTCTCATTTCTCTTTTTCCCTCCAACTATTCTCCACTCCCTGAAACCAATATGCTGAGCAAGAGAAATACCTACCAGCTCTGCATCCCTCCCTACACCTTTCCAAGAAACCAAATTCATTTCTATGCAGCTTTCAGCACACCTTCGCAGAGATCCACCTTTCGTTTTATACTTCTCTCTTTCTCCCTCAGAGTGTCCCCGGTGACTCTTAGAAAACAAAGCTTGGGCGAACAATCATTTCCACATGGTTAGACACTGAGCCAATAGAGACAAATGAACACACACACACTCACGATCCCCTGAGTGCATCGCTTTAGCATGTTGCAGGCCTAACTTGGCTCTCAGGAATCTGACCTCACAGACAGACAGACAGGGTGGTAATATAATTAGCCGGTGGGTTTTGAAAAGACACACACTATCATCTTCTATCATAATCTAATAGACCTCGGACAAATTACTTAGGCGTGGTGCCAACAGACTGAAAAAAAGAGTCGCGCAGACGAACACATCACTCTGCAGTAAAGTGTTCCTGAACGAGAATATTATTATTCCAGTCAAACCTCTGCTACTTGACTTAATGTGTTTTTAAAGTAGATCATTTGCCATAAAGTACAGCAAGTCAATCATAAAATGTTCCAAGTTACTGGTTGTGTGAAATGACCAATATGACATCTGAACCTTTCTTGTTTTAATGCCAACACAGATCATTTCCCCTAAAAATCTGAACAAATTAATATGAAGTTACAAATAATCTACTGTCAAATCGCTAAACAAATAGGTGGAAAGATTTGGCCGTAATTCAAAAAGCATCAAACTATTTAATACCCTTTATCAAGAACCAACACATTAAAAGTAGCAGTTCTAAATTAGCTTAAAGCACATGTGTCAAACTCAAGGCCCGGGGGCCAAATCAGGCCCTTGGTGGATTTAATATCGGCCCGCAGGATCATTTCTAATTACTATTAGATCTGGCCGGCCGGTATATTGCACGCACAACTTCACTCCATCCTGAGGGTCTCCTCAGCTCAGAGCCTGAGCCCAAACATTGATGAACTTGCACCCGAGATGAGATGCCAAGTATCTGAACTAGCTTCACAGAGCAGCACACTGAGTTTAATGGATGTTTCCTTCTGCACTTCTTTCTCTTGAGACAACAGGGCAGGTTTGGTTTGTAGTTTTTTTGAAGCTGTTGTTGGCCTGTGGGAAAATGTACTCATAAGAAATGACTCTGCAGATAGAGCCATAAGAAATGAATGCAACTGATTATTTAATGTTTTTAATCATTTAAGCTTAGTTAGTTCCAGGTTTAATATGTGCAATGAGTTCATTTCAATACGTTTTGCTATAAACATTGAACCAGTCCGCCCCTCCACTAGTACCCATTTTTTTTATTTTGGCCCACTGTGTATTTGAGTTTGACACCCCTGGATTAAAGGATACATGCCAGAGGAGGTTTTTGCTCACATATTTAAGTCAATTTACTAATAACAACAAACACTTTACAACACAGCTAATAACTTAAAGAGAACCTGGAAATTAGCATATTATGTCCTTTTTAACAAAACATGATTAGACGTTTTTATGTAGTTTAAATCAACTGTTTTCCTTTTCTGAATGGTATTACATCAATTAGCCCTCTCTTGTAACTCACTGGAGTTGTGTAATCCATCACAGTAAGCATCAAGTCTAAATTAATTTATGTCTGTCATGCTATTGCATGCAGTTTTATTGAAACTAATCTGAAAAGTCTGCACTGCATTATCTCACAACAACAAACAAATGACTGCCAGGAATACAAAAAAGCCATTTTCCTTTAAATAAAAGAAATTGTTGAAAGCTGGGCTAGGCTGTCAGTGTTTGGCTTCGCTTGGCAAATAATCTATTATAACCTTTCAGCATATTATCAAAGTTCTGGGAAAGCTACACTGTACAGCTCACCGTGGCTCTGTTTTTAAGCCTGGGCTTCAGGAAATGTAGCCTGTGATGGGAAACGTTGGCCAATCACAGGTCAGAGAGGGCGTTCCTATTGGCTGCTGTACAAATCAAAAAAATATTCCCTTCATCGAAAACCTGGTTTAACAAAAATATTCTACAGGAAAAGTCTCTATTACATCATTACCCAACAACCCCTTTCACTGGAAAGCAACCCAGAACAGGAGTACAGGAGTACACACACACACACACACACACACACACACACACACACACACACACACACACACACACACACACACACACACACACACACCACACACACACACACACACACACACACCACACACACACACACACACACACACACACACACACACCACACACACACACACACACACACACACACACACACACACACACACACACCACACACACACACACACACAACACACACACACACACACACCACACACACACACACACACACACACACACACACACACACACAGGAAGAGGACATTCAGTATTTTCCCATCAGAGTAACACATGATAACAAAGGTATCCCAACTGCAGCTGTGAACGTAACAGGATGTGTGATTACCTAGAAGAGCATCAGGACTGTTTGAGGCATATGATAGCTATGTGATTAACATGATGATTCAGCCTCTATGGAGAGAGACATATGAGAAGCATGCTCATTTCTGACGTGGAGCTAATCTGAAGTAAACATTGAAGACTGCTTTCTATTCCTCCATCTTGTGACTGTGTAACTCCCTCTCTTGGATATCAGCATGTGAAGGACACTGTTCAGGAACTAGTTGATGCTCTGTATGTGATGACTCCTTCCATTCTGGAGAGGATCAGAAATACATGGATCTTGATGTTGAAGCTCAAGCCGGTGACGAGTGAGAACACACACACAAACAGACACACACACACACTTCCTACCTTCCGTGTTTGGCCTCCGTGGAGTCGGACCAGGCGCTGGAGGCGGTGATGTCAGAGTCTGGGATGGTGCCATCCTCCATCCCCAGGGCGTAACGGCACTGAGCTGCAAGGGGAGATCGAGGAGAAGAGAGATTAAGATAAAGTGGGAGAGAGACAGACATGAGCAACATCCCTGTGGAGCACATGTCCGAGAGAAACTTAATATTTCCATTAGAGTGTCAGCAGCCATCATTGGTCACGGAGCATAATGTTGTTATGTCATCTCTGGGAAAACTTCCGGACTTCATGCTTCATAACTCACACAGAGAGAGAGAGGAGAAACTCTGCAGTTAATTGTTCCTGCCCACTCTGATTTCTTTTACAGGATCTCTGGAGGTACAGCCAGTGCTACAGCCAGTACTAATGAGGGTGTGTGTTACGTAATCGCAGGGTTTTGCATCACTTATTCCTGAGCTTTGCCCTGTCAAAAATGACAACATGATTCAAATGTATCTGAAAACGTAGTGTACCAAGTGCCCTGAGGAATCAGACAGTCTTAAAATGGACTCACAGCGTGTATCGCACAGCAAACAACTAAAATGATCCAAAGTTGTGATTTTCTTTACTTTCTCTTGAAAATATGGACGGTAAAAGAAAAGATCTGTTGCTTCGCAGGGAGGACAGAGATCTTTATCAATGGGACCCAGTCCATCAATACATTATTCTTCTATTGGAAACACTTCTGATTCTGACTGTGATGCTAATGAGGCTAACATCAATCAAACATCAAAACTTCACAATCTGTATTTACCGCAAGTTAAATGACAGCGAATGTTTTCACCCAATAAGAGGCGCGGCAGTGACCTAAAGGGGAAGTACCCGGATGGATTGCTCTCATCTATATTTCTATCTTGCCATCTTGTGCAACACCATAGCACATAAGCAATAGTGTTGCACAAGATATTCGTTACTGTCTGTTTTGCTTGTTGTTGTTGTTGTTTACCAGGGGCCGGGGTGGATGTTCAGTCTGACCGCCGCAGGAGTCAGAATCAAGTTTACTGCCAGGTACGTTTACACATACAAGGAATTGGCTTTGGTATCTGGTGGTGCGAACATAAACATTCTAAAGACAAGTATTTACACCAACTTTAAATGTAACTATACAAATAATCTTAAAAGCTAAAGGAAACTAAAACACTGAGTATATACGGCAAACTACACTGTATTATATGGACCTGTGTATAATGGACCTGCAGTATCTCCACAGTCAACACCTTTCCTGTCTTTTCTTTTGTGTCTCGTCTTGTCTTTCTCGCTCTCTGTCCCACACAAAGCCCAGCGTTCCTGCCCCCGTTCCAGTTACCACAGCTCAGGGATTTGCAGCCGGAGAACAAAAGACCGAGAGAAACCGCAGAGCGACTGAAAGAACGCAGACAGGTCTCAGATATCTGCCACCACTCCAGTCCAGCGGCAGCATTATAAAATGATCCAGATAGTGCGGTCCGGGCAGGGATTACCCAACGCCACAGCTATCTGCTCTGAAGTCAGTCAAGAGGAGGGGATGGGGGAGAGGGCGGGGGCTGAGGGAGGGTTTTGGGAGTGATAAAGTGGAAAGGGGTCCTGACAGTGATACGGAGGAGAGGCTGAGGGTGACAGAAAAAGGCGGGTGGGCTGGGCGTCTAACTCACTTTCTGTCATTGAGTCAGTGGACAGGAATGCTGGGCTGAATGACAAACCCCTAAAACCCCAATGACACACACACAGTTTATCCACGCCCTGTGAGCAGGTGCCCATTTTATTACATCATCATCCTCATCATCACACATCGCCAGTCAACACCCCGCCATCTGTAATCTTCTCACCTCTCCGTCTCCCCCTCCGTGTGTCCTCTGCTCTCACTTTCCTTTTTTGTCATAACACTTTCATCACACTTACTTAAACCTTCCTGCCCACGGTGGCTTTAGATGTATTCTTCTGGACAAACCGTCTGCGTTGTATCGTAGTCTGGTTATCCATCTCCAAATATTGACTTTACTTCAATCTACTGTAGCTACAAATCCTAGACTCATTGTATGCGGGCATAATTAGTTGATAATTCGATTATTTGTTCAACATTGCCGTCACAAGAGCTACGCTGAAAGTGTCTAAAAATGTGATTATCAAAATGAGTGCAGATAAGATTTGTATCAATTTACTAATTAGATTAGATTTAATTAATTGATCCGAGATTGTGAAATAGTTTTTTCTCGTTAACAAGGAAAGGCATGAATAAAACACTAAGCACTATACCTATGAACAGTAGAAGTAATACAGCTCTAGAGTATATCTATCAAATACACACTATACAGTATGCAGAAAAGTGTGACTAAACTATAACAAACCATCCTACAGCTAATTACTCCATATTGCCTCATGGATTCAACTCTTATAAAAGCATTTAAAACGCAATATATCAAAAGAAACAATGGATTTCTCCAATGTGTTGAAAGACTAAGTGATGCATAAAACAACAAAATCATCACATCATTAAGATAATAAGCAATATGTTCAGACTCAGTCTCATTCAGGGTCTGTCTGCTGCAGTCTGAAGGTCGGCTCTGCTCTGGTTTCACCTGGTTGGCTCTCTAAGCCTCGTGCACTCCCTTCCCCGACATTCTGACTGACACTTTCAAGAGCTGCCTGTGCATTAGCGGGCTTGACGAGCCAGAGGAGGGTTGGAGGGTTGTCTCATTCTCTTATTACACTCGACTGGCTGGCAGACAGGGGGGACACAGGATAGCCTGTTGATAGCGGCCGGAGAATGAGCCTTACTGATCTGAGAATGTGAGGAGAATGTCGGAGCGGCAAGACTTACGATGGCTGACACAAAGAGGACAGCGAGGGCTTTAAAACGTGCAATCATGAGTTTGTGGGATTTAATTGAACTGCCACTGTTTTTTAAAGTGGCAGCTTTTTAGGACAGAAACACAAGAAAAAAGAAATTGGGCGACAATTTATCCATCACTTGTCATCTCTTTTGTTTATTTGTATTGTCTCTAAATTCATTTCATGGCATGTTTTTTTTTGTCTTAAATGTTTTTGTAAAGTCTCTGTAAGTAGATAGATGGATAAATACTTTATTGATCCCAATGTGGGAAGTTACTTTGTTACAGAAGAAGCATCAGTGTGTTCAGACATAAAATACAAATACTTTAAATGTGGAATAGAGAATTAACAACTAAAAATGTAAAGTCAAAATAAAATAATAAAATACACTAAGTACTAAGACATGTGCTTTATAAATTAAATGTGTGATGAATAGTAGTAGTAGTAGTTGTAGAAGTAGTAGTTGTAGTAGCAGAAGTATTACGATCACTATGTTAGTGATAGCTGGTCTATATATTAATGTTATTATCTACTGTATGTCTTCAAGGTATCTGGTTATGGCATAGGTGTTGAGTTCTCCACGGTTTTTAAGGGCTGCATTGAAGAACTTGATGATGACCTTTACATGTTATTATTTGTCTTGACGCGAGTCATTATCAGGCTTGTGGAGTAAGGGAATACATGGGGATTACATTATTAGGATACAAGAAAAGGTAACCAAGTAATCCCTCATAATATCAACTTTGTTCCCTGTATAAAAGACACCTTTCCACAGAATCATGGGCAAGTCTAAAGAGCTATCTAAAGACTTCAGACAAGATTGTAGACCTGCACGAGTGATCAAATACTTATTTCCTCCGCTGTAATGTCCCTTTTCAAATAAAGTGGACTACAAGCAGGGTTAAAATGTTACAATACGTTTTAAAATAACAAAATGAAGATTAAGAAATCTATCCAACCTGGGTTAAAGTGCCACTCATGGTCTCCTGAAGACGACACCAGCGCCACCAGGAGAGCGAACACAGCGACAGGAAGCAGCTGCAGGGTTGCCATGACAGCAGCAACACACCTGGTTACCTGTGAGGGGCCACACTGATGCCCACAGGCATACCTGTTGGAGAAAAAAAGAGATATTCAGATTTACATCGACTTTAGGATTATGTCTGTGCTTGTTGAAACTGCATTAACCACAAATGATTGTATTAAAACGCCCTTTTCACACACGCACATACAGCTCCATAAAGAGGCAGCAGAGCTCACGATCACCGTCCATTTCTCAACTCCCTCGATCAAAAAAAGCACGTTGCATGTCTCAGTTATTTGTCTCTCTACGCTTTGCATGCCGAGCTCAGAAATCGTCCAAATCCCAGAGGAGCGAGCTCAAAGCCATATAACAAAGGCCACTTTCACACACTCATTTGTTTTTCTCTCTGGCAGCAGAACGCAGAGACACAATATTACTTTTCTGACTGTAGAAAGGGTGCAAGCCTATTGGTAATTGAAGAAGGTATAACTAGCCGGCCCAAGTATTCGCAAAACTGAATTCAAACCCACGTTCTCCCTAATAGGGGGAGCCTAATTGGAGCAAACGGTCAGAGTAGTTTGGAGTAAATAACAAACCGATGAAGCTGTCATTTTTGGAGATGGGAAAAAATGAGAATAAATGCGTGAGAGAGAAGGACAGATGTTAAAGTAATTTTAAATAATAGGGATCCAAACATGTCTGAGCTAGGTTAGTGCAAAGTTCATGATATGCTCAAAACGCCCAACCAGACATTAAGCATTTGTTGTTCTTAAAAGCTTAAAAATCACAAGCACACCCACACTTAGCTGCAAGTTTAATAGGTCAGCTACACTTAGTGAAAACTAATGCAGTCTAATACAAAAGTGCTGCTATAAATCTCCCTTCGTGAAGGTTAAAATGTTCAGATGTTGGTGAAACTGTTGCCGGGAGATGCTGATTAAAATGTATGATCCTTTTGGAGGCTGTAGTTCTGGTGTTGAAATGTGTTGCGAGAGGTTTGTCCTATATTAAGTGTATCCTCATTAATATTAATGGGGTGGACAAAATATTAGGATCGTTTCTAAATTATGACTTATTCACAAGAAGCTTATGAATATATCTCTGGTAGAAAAAACACTAAAAGTGGTGCATCCCCTTTAAGAGCACTAATATGATGAGAAAATGATTTAGAGTTGAGCTCTTGAATGATTTTTTAAAGGGCCCATGTAATGCTTTTCTGGTTATTACCCATCCCCTTGTGTGTTATGAAGGTTTTTCTGCATGTGAACGGTCTGCAGAGTCACAAACCCTCAAAGTACACCCTGTAGCGAGTAAAACTCTAACAGAGAAAAGACCTGTCTGTGCTGCCCCAGAACGCCTCGTTGGAGATTTCTCTTTTTCCATTTTTCCAAAATGGACCAATGCGCGGAGCTCCTCACACACCAGGACCTTTAGCGTAAATGTTCAACTAACAGGGAGTCCCATTGACTTGCATAGAGCTCCCTGGTTAGTAATAGACGAGTTGGGATGGCGGAGAAATACTCTCCGCAGACCCATTCTCACAGCGTTATAAACCTTTTTCTTACTCAATATCAAGCCACACTTATTGTTTTTACCTCGGCTGTGAGTGTTTGTGTGTGCTCAGGATGAGTTTTGCTTGTTCTCGATGTATCGCCGACCCGGAAACCACACCAGTAAGCCAGCTCACTGAGCAGCGAGCCTCGCAACGTCCCGACCAATCGGAGCACACTGGGCTCACAGGGGGGGGGGGGGGAAGGAGCTCCAACAAGCCGTTTAGGACAGAGAGTGAATAAACATACTATACAGAGATGCTGTTTGAGAAACCAATGTGAGTTTGGAAAATTGCACAATTTAAATCTATTCTAGTAGACCTCAACAATGGAAATATGATCAGTAGAAATGGCCATGACATGGGACCTTCAAGGAGAAACTATCAACAAATCATTTAACGTGTGAACTGAGTATATCACAAAACCTCATGGTCAGAATTGTACAAGTTTTAGTCAGTTAAGATTTCTAGGGGGAGACTTTTTCTGAGCCACAGTATGTTTTACCTACAGTAAAACACTGGCAACAGAGTGTAGATCTACAGTGTTTTCAAAATGTCGGAGTTAAAGTGAATCACACAAAGAAAACAAGCAAATTGTATTGCTCCATCCCCCTCCAAGACTACTTTGGAGACACGTTTGGGAAAGATTTCCAGTGGTGAAGCTAGAGAGAGGAAAGGAACTTCATGATAAGTGGAAGTCCGAAGTGGGAGTGACAGCTGGGGGAGTCTTCCCTGTAGACCTTCTGTGTTTCGGCTTCATCTAGACTAGACTGGGACAGGCCGACAGCTGACACACAGCTGTAGTGACAGAAGATCGGAGGGGAGGGGAGGAACGAGGGGGGGGAATGTATGGAAACAGAGCGAATAGTGGAGTTAGCCGAGGCACAACAGGGCGGAGACGCTGAAACAAGAGCAGCGATGACATGGGTACATGTGTGTGTGTTTGGCAGGAGGGAGGCGGTGGAGAGAGGGTGACTTATGGCCTGCTGGTGTAAGTATGCACGGGTTTGTAGGGTGCGTATGTGGGCACAGAGGAGATTTCAGGGAGAGCCAGTCAGTGCAGCTGTCCGGAACGGGAGACACAACGCAACCGATACATGTGTGCCAAGTGGGGAGAGAAAGAAGGGCTGAAATATTTCATTTTCCCTTTGCAGAAAAACTGTGTGTGTGTGTGAGTTCCAGATGACAACATGCTGGAAAGGGGACTTAAAAGCAGAGCCTCTGAGGAATGGGGCCACACATTTGGGGCACTCACCATAACAGCGAACCATGGTGATCAACAAAACACTATCCTAGACAACGCATTTTTCGATGAAAGGAGGAAACTGCAACTTTTTTATCCAACACACCACAGATAAATGAAGGGCTGAAGTATTTATGTTTTCCTTCGCAGAAAGACTCCTCAGTTGTCCAAATATGTGTGTGTGAGTTCCAGATGACAACATGATGAAATATGGGGCTTACTAGACTTACTAGAGCTAAGAATCTGAGGAATGGGGCCACAAATCGGGGGCAATCTCCATAACAGTGAACCACGGTTATATCAACAAAACGCTATCCATGAAAGAGTTTCGTCACAGTTTGGCCAATGAACGGGGGAAAGATGTTATGAACAAGGGAAGAAAAGTCACTGTGACCAATGCTTTGGCGAGCAGGAACAAAAGTAGCCACAGCCACCGGAGAACATTGTTGTCAGAGAAGTCAAGTGGTGTTGAACAGCTGTGGTGTGGAGCTCAATCTACACCCTCACATTTTGTCTCAGCTAATCCATACGCAGGACTAATGAATACTTATGAGCAGCTGCTGGTTCTGAACACACAACTGACAAAAGAGAGACACGAGTAGAGAGGCTCACACAAAGAAAAATGTACTTAATTAGCAGTCCTTGCATCATTACAGATAGTTTGCCAGAGTTTCTATAATTAGATTACTGGCACGACTGCTTTGGCACTGGTTAGCGTCTTTTCTAGTGAGCCCCTCGAGCTGGAACCATATGCATTCGCTATTCTTTCCAGTTGTATAATGAAGCCAGTCCAAATGTCAGTAGCAACCTAAAGGATTGTTCAGGTTGTCTTGCATTGCTCATTACCTGCCAGTCGTGTATGTTTTATCACTGCTGAGAATATCATAACTATCGGCTTTCTGTGATGAAGTGCATTCGAGACGGCCGTAAGTTTAGGACTCGTGGGTACAGGGTAATATAAACTTTAAACATGAGAGGTAATCAATAACAGACATTAAAGCACAATCATTCTTTAGTCCACGTTTCTTTTTTCGCAGTAACATAATCAATAACTAAGACTCAGCTCAGCTGCTGAACAGTAATACTGTTAAAAGACAAACAAATAGCCAACTTGGATAGCCTATGCTTTTAACAATGATTAGTTTGGAAAGAATAATTTGAACGTTATAATTTTAGCAGCAGGCGAACTTACTAATGTTGGCTAAGATTTGTTGGAAAATAAGCAGTCAACATCTTGTCCGGACTGAAATATCAACAATAGCCTCAACCAGAGCCATATTCTTTCACACACAGTGACGTCACGAGCTACCCACAATGCAACACGCGCCATATAAATATATATAAATGCGCCATTTTCCTGGAGGTGCTAATATCCTGGAAGTGCAAATATAAACAGCTAGCTAACTAGCCAGGCAGAGCGCAGTAGGTTTTTTTTCTGATTTAACGACCGAAGAACTCGCATGTCTTCGGATTACATCTCTGGACTTGAGGGGTGTGCTCTAGGTCGTTACCAGCGTAAACTAGAGCTGTGTGGGTTGTTACAGACTGCCTGCAGATGTATGGAAAAGCGACAGTGGCCTTCGTCGATTTTGGCAGCATCTACGTCTAATTTCTGGAAACACCAGGTGAATACCCCACTTGTCACAATAATATTATCATGCCATTGCATACATGTGGTATTTTAGAGTTGACTAGATATTGATTAAGGCAATAGACTATGATATTCAGTACAGGAAGCTTAGCAACACCTAGACGGTGTACGGCTGCTTGCACCTCGCGTAAAACGGCGCAGACCGGAAGTACGGTGTCGCGCTCGGCCCAATACCCGTATGTGTGTGTGAAAGAATAATAGAAGAGTTACGACATTTCCGTTCACTCCAATGGACCACTTTTTTTACAGCAATGGCGGATCGTGGAGCCTCTCAATCGTTCCCCGGAAGTTAGTGCCAAGGCTAGCAGAGCTGTGGAGTTGCAGCATAATAGACCGTTCGTGACGGACTTTTAAAGGTAAGAAGAAGTTTAAAGATTTATATTGCGGATATTATCAGTACATCTGATTCAATTGAACATGTGTATTAAAGGATGTCAGTGGATTATCCCTAAATTAGTAGATTTAGGGAACGTTTACAGATAACAGATCAAGCTAGGATACCGAAGCAAGTTAGCAACACACGTTGAACAACCTTTTAATTGTAAATTCCGTTCTCTTAATGTCATTTGGTCCAACGTTGTTGAATTAGAGAAGAGGGGCTTCTAAACGGGATTGTATGCGGGGGTGGAGGGAGTTACATATTA